TGGTAGCCACGCTGGTAGCCGCGGTGGTAGCCGCACTGTAGTCTCGGTGGTGGCCGTGCTGGCAGGCCGGTCCCGCGGCCGCAGCGCCGGTGGCCGCCGCGCAGCCCCTGTCCCCGGGCTGCCGCGGGTCCCGCTCCGCTCAGTCCCTCCCCGCCGCGTCCCCTCCCCTCCGGCGCCGGGTCCTTTGGGGCCGCAGCGGGGGCCGCCCCCCGCGGGGCCCTTCCCGCCTCCCCCGGGACTCCCGCATTCCTGCAAGGAGGAAACCCCGGATTCCAGAGCGGGCAGCGCGCGGGGCTGCAGCGCCGCTCCCTCCCTCTCCCCACCGCTCAGCTTTGCCCCGAGTTTGCGTTTGTTTTGCTTTTCTTTTTAGCCCAAACGGATTCCATCCCATTTGTCCAGAACTAAGCTCCTGCCGATTGTAATTTGCTGCCATTTTCCCCGTCCGCTGGTTGCGGATAGCAGGGCTAAGGCACGTGCGGCGCCGGGTCCTCCCCGCGCCCACAGCCCCTGCCCATCGGGCCGCTGCCGCCGCCAGCGGTGCAGGACTCGCCCTGCCGCGGGATGGTGAGGCCGAGCGGCGAGCGGGAAGCATGAGCTGCCTGGGGTGAGTAGCCGGGACCTTCCCCGGGGCCGCGGCGGGGACGGGGTAAAGCAGCTGAAATCTGCGACCAGCACGGCCGGCCCTGCGGAAAGGAGCAGCGCTCGAAGTTGAGGAACTCCCTGCAGTGTCCTCCTTGCAGGGGAGCCGCTGCGGGCAGGGCTCGGCGCGGCCGGCGGGGGCTGCGGCACCTGCGCTCCCGGCTCCGGAGCATCCTGCAAGCGCCGGAGCGTCCGCGCGCTCGGCACCGACCCCGGGGCAGCCGGGGGGCCCTGCTGGTCGCAGCCCTCGAGCATCCCCAGGGAGCTGCCCTGATTCCGAGCGGTTTTCCGACCTGCTGGGGCACGGGAGTTGCTGTGTCCCTGGCCGGAGCTGCTCCGAGCCTTGCAGGGGGCTCCGGTGCTGCCGGGTCGCTGCCGCTGCTGCAGAGGTGCGGGGGGCACCGGGCCCCTCTCCCTCCCTCTTAAAAGCGTGTGTAAATGTGTGTAAGTGTGTGTAGGTGTGTGTAAATGTGTGTAGGTGTGTGTAAGTGTGTATAGGTGTGTGTAAGTCAGCGGCGCGGGTGCAGCTCCGTGCCGGCACCCAGCTCGTGCCCTGTCCGTATTCATCCATTGCACGAAACCTCTCCTGCTGTTTGGATGATTTTACATCAGCCGGTGCCGTCTCTAAGCCCTTCTATTGTGCCTTATTCTGCTGCATGGAGACCAGAGCAATAGTTCGTTACGTCCCCTCATTAGGGGCTCTTTGCCCCCGAGCAGCCGCTGCTGGGGGGGACGCGGTGCCGCTGTGTCCGCTCCCTGCGGAGCTAAACCCGCGCGCGCCCGCCGGCGTTCCCGGGTTCCCGAGGAGATTCCGACGAGCTCATTTTAATAATGGCTCAAGCGCAATCTATTTTTCTCTGGTTGTTTTTCATGGCAATAAAATTGCTTGGTGTGTTCCTGTATTAAAATACTCCAGCCATCTGTGACATTGGCGGATAAGAAATTTCATTTTAGCCGTCAGGATTTATGCGCCCTGAGCGCGGGGGGAGCCTCGGGGGGGCTCGTCCCGCCGTGCAAACGCAGCTTGCGGGAGGTGCAGACGGAGCCCCCGGCCCAGCCCGCCCTGCTGCTGCTCCAGGCGGTGCCGAAACTTCCGAGCTGCCCCGCGCTCCTGCCCCGCGCTCCCTGCGACACCGCGGGCGCTGCGGGAGAGCAGCACGAGAGTGCAGGAAAAGCAGCTCCGAGCTTCGTTCCCTCCAAAAGCAAACACAGCACTAATCTCCTGGCCGGGCATATGTTAAACTGCCCCCGCAAAGGAATTAGGGCAGGAGAAAAAAAAAATCTGCCAGCAGATCGGAGCAGTGACAGTGACCGGGAGGGAGCTCCCTTCGGACGGGCTGACTTCAAATAGGTCATGACCAAAATACCTCAGTGCAAAATCTCCTGTTAAGAGATTAATTTGTGTTGAGAAAGCAGCCCCTGCAACGCAGCCTGGAGCCCGGCCGCCTGACAACGCGCGGGTAACATCTGCTTTGGCGGGCAGCCCCGGGGGTCTCCGTCCCCTAGCCCGGCACAGGGCGCCCCGCTCCTCCTGCCGCTCAGCCCTGCTCCGAAGCGCCCCGGGCAGCCCCCGATGGGTGACGTTGTCCGAGCGAAGGGGACATCGCTGCCCGTGCTGGGGACACGGCCCGTCTGCGGCTGGGCAGAGCTCACGGTGACACGCGGGGACCTGTGTCCATCCGCCCGCCGGGAGGGAAGGTGACCCCCGCGCTGGCGCCCGGGCAGCTCTTAGCGGCTCTTTGCCCAAGGATGAGATAAGGGATCAATTGTCACCTGAGCAGGGACAGCCACAAGGTCCCCCCGGCCTCGCAGCCCCGCACACAATGCCCTTGGTTTCCATAGAGTGACAGTAAGGGTCACATCTGCACAACATCTGTGGCCGAATGGGTCATTACCCAACCTGCCGCGATGGGGGGAACGGTCCTGTGACCCAAAAGACCCGCTCTGCTCGCCCCGGGCCCGTGTTGTGGTGCCGGCCCGTGGGGGCTCCAGGGCTGCTCCCACCGGCACCGCCTCGTGCAGCGCCCAAGAGCGGTGCGGAGCTTCCCTGCATCTCGGGGATGCGTTGGGTGCTTCTGGAATTCCTGGAATTAGTTGTTTCTGGAGATTTTGCCGTCGTGTGTAAACTGTGAGCACCGCGCCGGGCGGCCGCGCAGGCCTGCACAGCCCGTGCCGCACGTGCTTACGCCTGTTGGGATGTATAGGTCAGACGTATAGACCGGGCACCAACCCCACTCTCGTTCTTTGTCCCCACATGGGCAGCAGCTCCGGGCCGTGGTCTTTGCCCCGTGTGCGGCGTCCTGGAAGGGAGGCACCTGGTGCGAGGTGCCGGGACGGGGATGCTCCGAGCATTGCACAAGCCCTTTGCCTTTAAGATTCCTCACCCCGCTGCAGCAGCCTGTGATTGAAACAGAAGCACTTTGGAAGGCAACTAATTAGCGGTGCCGGGGGCTCCCTGCGGAGCTCGGCCGTGCCCTCCTTTCCGCGAGCAGGGGCTCCAGCTGCGAGCGAGAGCGGCGCAGAGCGCGCGGGGACGCGCAGCAGAGCCGCGCAGAGAGCGGGACCCGCTCGGAGCGGCGCCAGGGCAGCCTGGGCAGGGGCAGGACCCGCTCGGAGCGGCGCCAGGGCAGCCTGGGCAGGGGCAGGACCCGCTCGGAGCGGCGCCAGGGCAGCCTGGGCACGGGCGGGACCCGCTCGGAGCGGCGCCAGGGCAGCCTGGGCAGGGGCAGGACCCGCTCGGAGCGGCGCCAGGGCAGCCTGGGCACGGGCGCACGTGGCGGCGGGTCCATCTGGCCGCGCGGCGGGCGCGGGGTGGCAGGGGGCCCGGCGGCGCTGGCTCCGCTGCCCGCTCAGCCCCGGCTGCATGAGCAGCTGAAGCGTCTGCCTTTTGTCCGCGCCGCATCCCTGCAAATGGGCAAGGACCGGAGCTTCTCCCGCCACTTTCGGTAGGTCTCTGCTCGGCTTCTCGCGTGACACCAGGTTCGATGGGGGTTGGCGGCCCCGGGCCGGGGTGGCCGGAGGTGCCTCCCACGCGGGAGTCTCTCCCCGCTCCTCCGAGCTGCCTCCCCAGCTGCTCCCCTGCCCTGTGTCCGGGAGAGCAGCTCTGCCCATCCCCGGCTCCGCAGGGGCAGGACAGGGCACAAAGGAGGGCTCTGGGGCGGCTGCAGGACCAGGGCAGCGGGGCCGGTTCGTGTCCGTGTCCACGTCCATATCCATGTCTGTGTCCACGTCCAGTCCCAGCTCCTGGGGCACTCCATGAGGTGTGGGAGCGATGACCGAGCCCTTGGGCTCTGCTCCTGCCCGCGGCGCTGCCTCCTGCACCGCGGAGGGGCTGCAGGGCGGCCGGGGCAGCACCCGCTGCAGGACGGGCACCAGGACGGGCCCCTCTCCCAGGTGCTGCCAGGGGCTGCGGGCCAGGGGGACGGATGGGAGAATATCCGTGTGCCGAATTCCCGTCCTTAGCGTGGCCGGGCAGCGGCGGCGCAGGGAGCCCCACTGCCCTTTGCTGGGCACGTCGCAAGAGCGGGCAGGCAGGGCCGGCCCCAGTGCGGGACAGGAGGAGGAGGAGGGATGAGGAGGAAGGAGGCAGGAGGCTGGTACTTGATGGGCTGCCCGGCAGCCAGGGCAGCAGGGGAACATTCCCCTTTGGGGCACGCTGGTTGCAGGGCTTGGCGCTGGTGCTGGGCACCACGTCCCCGGCGGGTGCTGCGGGGCCGCAGCTGATGTGGGACCTGCCGTCCCGCCCGGCGCTGCCGAACCCGGGGCTGCGGCTCCTGGGCAGGGCACACAGCGCCCGGCACCTGCCTTGGCACAGCTTTAATCAGTGCAGCATTAAGTTCTCTGCACAGGGTTTTGCAGAAGGGAAATGTGTTAATAGGATTATTTCTGGCTGCCGCTGAGCTCACCTCGTTGCCTCCTGCCCTGGCGGGTGCCGGGGCTGCTGCCGGCCCAGCGGGGCCTGGCTTGGCCCCAGGGCAGGAGCAGGAGCAAACGGGAACGGGGTGGCCGCCTCTTTCCCCGTGTTCCTGCAGCGCTTCCTTACAGCACAGAGGGATGTTCATTAGCACAGTGAGATATTCATCGGCACAATTTCACCCTTTTCCATTTGTTGCTCATCACAAGTTGACTGTGAATTGCACCAGCGTGTTCCTTATTTTAAATCACCCCCAAGTGCTCTGCACAGGCGGCAGCTCAGGTCTGCTGGCTGCTGTTTGTGCTGCAGCAGGAGTTGTTATTTTGGGCTATTTTAATTATTCTGGGCTATTCATCAGGAGGGAAGGAAGGCTGCGGCGGTGCTGGGTGCGCGGGGCTGGAAGCCCCCTCGGTGCTGCGGCTTTGCAGGTTGCGCGTCCCCAGACGGGCTGCACGGGGGCCCAGCGCTTGGCCTGGAGCCGATGCTGCTCCGAGGAGCTGGGAGGGACACGGAGGGAAGGAGGAGCAGGGCAGCGTCGTCCCAGCCGCGGCGAAACCTGCGGGTCCGGGTGTCAGCACGGGGTGTCTGCGCGTCCCATCCCACAGCTCGGATGAGGGGAGATGCTCTCGCGCAGCCGGGCGGCCCTGTGTCCCGGCAGGACCGTGCGAGACTTTTGCTTCCCCAGGTACCGCCGGCTCCACCGGCTCCGCCTGAGCCCCGCTCCTCACTCGCCTCCCTTGTCCTGTTCTCCAGGATCTTCATCCCCAAGAAGCACCGGCAGCGCTTCGACGAGGTTGTGTCGCAGAGCCTCATCAGCAAGCTGTGCCGCTCCAAGGGCGAGCAGCAGAGCCACCGGCTGCGCCGCAGCCGCAGCGAGGACCACCACGAGCGGCTGCTCGTGTCCACCCGCGCCAGCTCCGTGCCCCGCAGCCACGAGGAGGCCGCCAAGAGCCTGCGCAAATCCACCTCCCTCGTCACCAGCAATGTGGCCTCGGGGGCCGCGCGCAGGTAGCGGCCCTGCGCACGCAAAGGCTGCAGCGGGACACGCGGCAACGCGGGATGTGCTCGGTGGGAGACGGGCAAATTCTCCCTCCTGAAGGCTGGGCCGGGCTGCACCCGAGCTCCTGGGCCACCCTCCCTGTCCTCGGGAGGCCACCCGAGCAGGGAGCCGGGTGCGCGGTTGTGCCGGAGGGATGGGTGCCCAGCCGTGCCAGGGGGATGCAGGTTGTCCAGCTGTGCAGAGGGATGCAGGATGCCGGAGCAATGCAGGATGCTGGAGTGATGCAGGATGCCATAGGGATGCAGGATGCCCAGCTATGCAGGAGGGATGCAGGATGCTGGAGCGATGCAGGATGCAGGAGGGCTGCAGGATGCCCAGCTGTGCAAGAGGAATGCAGGATGCCAGATGGATGCAGGATGTCGGAGCGATGCAGGATGCCGGAGCGATGCAGGATGCTGTAGGGATGCAGGATGCCATAGGGATTCAGGATGCCCGGCCGTGCCAGGGGCTCGCGCTCAGGCTCAGGACAGTCCGTGTCACCCGGTGCCGCCTCGGCGGGTGCCTGGCTCTGAGGACACGGTGGGGGAGGCAAACAGGACAATCCGGGCCTGGGGATTAACCTGTTTCCCTGCGCCTGTGGCCAGAGCTGAGCGCAGCTGGGAGGCTACGGATCTGCGCTGCTCCCAGCCCCGCGGCCGAGCCTTGGGCTTGTCGGCATGGCGGGGAATTACGGGAAGGGCTTGCGGTTGGGCTCGATGATCCTGATGATTCCAGGATTCTGTGAATCGCAGGATGGCCGCGGGCCGGAGCGGGGACGGTGCTAGCGCAGCCCCCGCACCCCTTCCCCGGGCTCTCAGCCGTCTCCCCCGGCACAGACGGATATTCCTCTTGCCGTGACTTCTCCAGCAGCCACTTTCCAGCTGGTCTCTCTCTGCGCCAGCGCAGCTGTGGGCCCCACAAGAGGCTTTGCTGCTGTAACCGGTCTCAGCGATGTTCACTTCCCCCGCTCCCGGCGGGAACAGCCCCCCGCTCCAATCAGCCTCCCAGCAGGAAGATTTCCTAATACTGCTCCCAAATTTCCTAGATGAATTTAATTTCTCTCTCATTAGCCCAGTAAATCTTACCCCCCTAAAACACGTATTTGTTATGTTAGTCTATCTGTGTAGCATACATCTTATATCCCCTGTTTTCATTTTAAAGGCACTGAATTTGAAGGGCTGGACTGCAGTTTTATGAATTCATTAATTATTACTTAAAAGTAAAGGAAGGGAGCAAGAACCAAATATATGTCAGGTTCTGATTTCCTGTTTGCTTTCGGACCCGCAGAACCGTGCGCGTTTACAAAGGCAACAAGAGCTTCGGCTTCACGCTGCGCGGACATGCCCCGGTGTGGATCGAGTCCGTGCTGCCAGGTAAGGGAAGCGCCTGTGCGTGGCAAGCCCGGCTTTGCCGGGCGCTCCGAGGGGAATCCGAGGGAATGCAGCAGGAGCGACCTGCTGGAGAGGGCTGCTCCTGGGAATCTCCTCCTCCCCCGCGGCATCTTCCCTCTGCGTGGAGAGGGAGAGGAGATCTCCGGCTCCTCGGCAGGAGCGAGTCCGGAGCTGGGACCCCCTCTTGGCAGCCCCCCCGGTGCTGGGACAAGATCTGAGTCCCTTTAGCTGACAGAGAGAGACTAAGTTTGCTCGCTGGGGAGGACTCTTCTCTCTGAGTGAACAGGCACAAGACTCAGGGATACTTACGGATCTATAGCCTGAGCTCTGTATTTTAAGTGCTTGCTGTTCGCTGCAAGACAGCAAAACGACTTCCATGAGCCTCAGTGATGGAGGCTCCCAATCTGAATAACTAGTATCTTCATCACAGCCAAGCTCGGCTCTCTGCTCTCCCTGTTCCACGTTTAGAAGGTGGAGAATGCCCCCGTTTAGTGACCGTTTGCAACCACATCTGCTTTGGCGGTGTAAGCTGGCCACACACTGAGCCACGCGGCACGCGCCGCGCCGGCCACGGCCGCCGGCACCGGCACCGGCCTTGCTGAGCCCACGGAGCCGCCCCGTCCCGTCCACACCACGGGGCTACAGGGCGACCTTCCCTCTAAGGTCCCCCCCGGGCACAATGTGGCCCCAGAGCAGAGATGCCAGCACCAAAACCAAGGGACCCGTTAGCTAAAGCGCCTCTCATTCCCTGTGCGCTAGGAAGCCCAGCCGAGAAGGCGGCCCTCAAAGCTGGAGATCGGATCTTATTTCTCAATGGTCTGGACATGAGGTAAGAGACTGACCTGTGCCCGGCTCGTGGGGGTCCTGCAGCGTCGGGGTGGAACGCACGGTCCTGTTCCTGTGCTCCCTCTTGAGGAAAAGGGATGGGAATTGGGTATCCCGAGAGCTGTCTACGGAGGCAGACATGGACTTTGTCCCATACAGGCCTCTCCTGTATGGACAAAGTATTTCAGGCCCCATCCCTGATCCTCCTTCCCCTCCCTTTACTGAAGGGTGCAGGTAGCAATGCATGACACCCACAACGGGTGCACTGACTGCCGTGCACTGGGAGACCTGGCTCCAGCCATGTGTTAGATACCTGGCGCTCCCAGAGGGCCAGCAAGCCCATGGATCACTCCTGCAGTGGGATCCTAAGCTTAAAACCACCTGGGCAAGGACATTTCCACCTAGAAGGTAACATGGCCCTACACACAACAAAAATAATCCAGTTCTATCAAAGCAGAGCTCATCCTGCACCTTCCCGATCCAGGCACAGCGGCTGGTACTTTGCCAGGCTGGTGTCTCTGCACAGAAAAAGAAAAGAAGAGCAAAGGGTAGAAGCAGCTACATGATAAGGCAGAATGATGAATATTTAAAGGTTACACATCTGATGCTTTCTCTGTCAATGCCCAAGCTCTCAGATTTCAGCTGATCCAGCAAACTGCAGGCTGATACAGCAAACTGCTGGCGGCTGCAGCATGCCCAGAGTGTAGCGGGGACCTATTGGAAGGTTGTCCTCTGAGCCTGCGATTTGGCAGGCACCGTCCCAGGTCACTCGTACCTTTCTCCAAGGGGACTGGCCTGACTCCAGAAAGGCCTTTTCACTCCAGTTTGCATTTATTTTCACACAGAATTAGGCAGGCAAACAGAGATGCCCGATGCCGTATCCTTTAAACAGAAATGTCCGCTGTGGTGCCGCGCAGTGGCTCCCGCTCCCGCCTGGCTCCCCACCAAGGCCCGGGGCTACCAGCCCGTGCAGCCGTGCTGGGAGCCGCGGGAACCCGCGGGGCTCCGTGGGGCCGGCGCCCGCCGTGACTCACGGGGCTCCCTCCTGTGCCACGCAGGAGCTGCTCCCACGACAAGGTGGTGTCGATGCTGCAGGGCAGCGGGGCGATGCCCACCTTGGTGGTGGAGGAAGGGATCGTCAACTTCTCAAACGGTAAGAGCGGGGCGCAGGAGACAGGGGGACATGTGGAAACCGGGGGAAATCGCTGCCCTGCTGCCCGCTGACCCGCTGTGGGGACGGGCAAGCAGCACACGGTGAAACCCTCCTCGCACGGCGCTGCTGCCGCTCCCCTGCGGCACGGAGCTCCGTGCCGGGAGCCGCACCGCGCGCTGGGCTGCCTTGCAGAGGGCTCGGCACACCCTGGCCCTCCTCGCGTCCTTGCGCCGTCCGGCTGCTCCGCGCTCGGGGCTTGACAGCGGCCTCCCCCGCGGCGCACGTGGCCGCGCTGCCACGACCGGCTGTGCAGCGGAACCGCTGCCTTTGGGGAGCGTAGCCGGGGCGCACGGCGAGGGGACCGGGGGATCGGGGTGTTGGGCACGGCGGGCAGCACCGCAGCGACGGGCAGGACCCGGCCGGGGCGCACGGCGCTGCTGCGGCCGCTCTTTGAGGCAGGGCAGCGACCGGCTCTTCGGGAGCAGCGAGGAGCTCCCTCAAAGCCTCCCGTTAGGAGCCCGGAGTTACGAACCGGGACACAGAGCCAAGAGCCTCGCTGCGTGCCGCTAAAGATGCAGCCATGCCCAAAGCGCTTCCCGGCAACAGAGGCCAGGGAAGGATGCGATTCCTAGCCCCATGTCTGGGCCGCCTCCCTGTGTGGTGCAGCAAGCCGAGCTTTTAAACCTCAGTTTACCTACAAGCAACTTCTGGCCAATACTGCTTTTAAAGTCGAAGGTTATTGTCAGCTGCTTTGAAACTGGATCAGAGGCTTCAAAGAGAGGATGATCACCCGCATGTGTCTGCAGAGAAAGGCAGAAACAGCGTTAGCAAAGAGGCAGACTAGCGCCAGCGGAATAGACCCATCGTTTTCGTGTAGCTTCAGGGCGCAGGGCAGCAGCACGAGGTGCAGCGCAGGGCGTTCAGTGCGCGGTGCGGGACCAAGGCGCCCGGCGCTGCCCGGGGCTCCTCGCGCTGCCGCAGCCCTCGGCGAGCGGCTCCGTCGCCCCGCGGCGCTTTTTGGTGACAGAAGTGTTTGTTCTGAGGCAGCAGCACACGGACACGCCAGGATTGGTATTGACATAGCTGGGATTCTGTGCTGGGAGGGCTCCCTGGAGGTGCCGGTAAAAGGGGGATGTGGAGGCCAGCGACGTGCGAGTGGTGGGGCTGCAGGTGCCAGGGACGGGGACACCGCACGGGGCAGCGACCGCAGCTCGGACAGGGCTCCCCTCGGGCTGGAGCCCCGCGGGGTCCAGCGCTTGTGCCCACGGGCACAGACAGAAGCAGAGAGGGGTTCCAAGGACTGTCGGGCGCAGATTTAGGGCAGAGCGGCTTCCCCTTGGTTCGTTTTCAGCACTTCCTTGCTCAGAGCCTTCCAGCCGGGAGAAGGCGCTTCCCGCAGTGCGGCCAGGGCTGCTCCCGGCCCCGTGTCCCTCTTGCTCCTCCCCGAGACGGGGACATTCCAGGTCACTGAAATCCTGTTCCTCGTGCTCAGGTGCGGCCGCCCTGGCCGTCCCCAGGGATGGATCTTGGGTTCAATGCGAGCCTTTATTCCTGTGGCTAAGACCTTCCGTCTGTTGAGTTGTCTTTGTTTTCTTTGTGCCTGCACCTTGCAGACTCTGACTCTGCCGACTCCCCGAGCGCCTCCTCCGCCCTCACCTCCCTGCAGTGGGTTGCAGAGATACTTCCCTCTAGCATCAAGATTCAAGGAAGGACCTTCAACCAGCAGCTGGAACATCTGCTCACCCCACCTGAGCGCTATGCCATCTGCAAAGCACTGGAAGGCTTCTTTCAACATCGGTAACTCGTTAGCGGCTCCATTCCTTTCATGCTGGTAATTGGACCGGTAGCAATCTCCATATCGGAGAGGGAGTCTTGAATCAAAGCACTGACACAGAAAACAGATCTCAGATTTAGAGGCTCGCACTGCCGAGCTCTGCCCTGATTATTTTCTCTAATTTCCTCAGCTGTACATTCCCAGTCTGTATCCCGCAGGGAAAGAGCTGAGGCACGAGCCCATTTCTTGCCTGGTGTCCTGCCCAAGGACAGGACAGACCCATTAATTTGGGAGGTTAATTCAGTCACCACTTACTCCCACATAGATGTGACCTTGATCTCCTCCCCGCACGGGGTTCTCTTGCTGCTGGGCCAGCCCCAGGACAGCAGCACATCCTGTTCTGCCTCTGCCAGTGAATTCTCACCGCGTTTTGCCCCTGTCTCCTTGCTCTTTTCAGCGGTTTGGCTGCAGCACCCTTGGCCGCAGCGCGACAGGGCTGGAGCTGGCGCAGCTCCTTCCTGTAACCGAGCACGTCGGTGCAGGGCTTGAAACCGATCCCCCGGCAGAGCCGGGATTTTCAATAGCGACCTTGTTTTGTGCCCTTGATCCGCAGCCTTTCGGCAGGGCGGCGGCGCTGCCGCCCCTTCCCGCGGCTGCGCCTCGGAGCAGCTCCCGCCGCAGGCTGCGCATCCGCAGGGCGCTCCGACACCCGGCCCGGCCTCCGCTGCCTTCGTGCGCATACAGACAGATACGGATCAGAGCATCTGCTTACTTTGATGAGGAAGTGCAAGAAACCTCTCAGTATTTAGGCTACAGGTGTTAGGAGGTGATAGAAGACCCCAAGCACAGCGCCGTGGGGCTGCTGCACCCCCTTGCTCCGGCTCAGGGCTCCAGGCCCGGCGTGGGGCTCGGGGAGCCTCCCCTGCCGCCCGGCCCCAGATCCTCTTGGCTCCCAGTGATCTCCAGCCCTGCCCTCTAAAGCAGGGCTCGTTGTTTGGACAACCCTGTGCTTGCACTTTCTCCACGTGGATTCCCCGCTCAGGCGTTTCTAAGGGTGCTTTGGATAGACACCAGCAATTAGGAAATCCGGAGCTCGTGGGATTGGAGCCCGAGCGCTGAGGAAGGTCCCCAGGTTTCATCCCCAGCATGTGGGGCTCAGCCCCAGGACTCGGGCGCTGCCGCCAGTCGCGGGCGCGGGGAGCAGAGCTCCGGCTCGCGGGGCTGATCCGCCCTCCTCCCGCCGGCTCCCGCCCGTTCCGCCTGTTCCTCCCCCAGCTGATGGAGAACAGCAGCAGCTGCTCCATGTCACAGCAAGACATCATGACCTAGTTTCGTGCCTGTCCCAGACTCGCCAGCTGTGACCTGTGACTGCTCCGGCGAGCTCTGCAATGCCGGTGCGGGATGCGCAGCGCTGGCAGGCACAGCGGGCGGGCACGCTGGATTCCTGGGGGGACGCAGGAGCCAGGACATCCCGTTGGTGGTCCCGGCCCTCCGGACAGCGTGTGTGCCACGAGGCAGCTCACCTGCCCCGCTGGGCCCCGCTTCGCACTTGCGCTCAGCACAGAACCGCCCCGCGCTCAGGGCCTCAAGCAGCTGGATTTTTCTGACGGGGAAATGGGACTTGTGGCAGCCCAGAGACCAGGCTTCCTAGAAAAGGCAAGTTGGCCCGAAGTTAGCAAAGGGCTTCAGAGAGGAATTCCAGGAGGCTGATCCCGCCGGCCTCGGAGCCCGCTGCCAGCCACAGCTCCGGAAGCCATCCCGGATCCGAACGGCTTCACCCTTCCCTTCTCCCCCACGCTTAGCCCCTGCTCTCTATTAAACAGTGATGGTCCCTGTGAGTAACATCAGGGTAACAGATCTGTTCCTAAATGTCAACCTTCTTCCAGCTCCTTGTAGGAGGTTCTTAGCATTATCCCTACTTTACAGATGCAATAGTTGCAACGAGCTGCAGCCTCTGATCTCTGCCTCAGCTGCTTACTAGGAGACAGGCCTGTCTTTAACCCTCCGAGCTGCCTTTCCCCAGCTGAGACCAGCAATTCCCTGCAGGACAGGCCTCCCATTTCGGCAGGTGCTTTATCCTTCTCCCTGGGGCTCAGCCCTCACAGTCTTCTGTCCAAACCTCACTCTTCTTTGGACCCTGTTTTCTGGCTCGCTCTCATTCCCAGCCCACCGACACAACCCCAGCCTCCCTCTTGGCCTCTTCGCCCTCCTCAGCCCTGCTCGCCATGTCCTGCCTGGGTCTCAACCAGGATTTTTCAGGCTGCCGTCAGGGGCTGGCGGCTCCGCTGCCCCAGCTCTGCCCCAGCTCCCCCGCAACGGGCTGAGCCCCTTGCTAGGAGGGGACGTCTCTGCTTCGGAGCGGCTGGTACCTTTGTGCCAGAGTCCAGGGCAAGGCTGGCAGCTGAGACGGAGCTAGGGACAGGACGGGAAGGACGAGAGCCCCGTGAGGGGAGGATGCAGCAAAGGATGTGCTCATTGCCCAGTCCTCTCTTTCCAATTTTACAGGAATATTGACACTCTTATTGTGGATGTTTACCCGGTGCTGGACACACCAGCCAAGCAAGTGATCTGGCAGTTTATCTACCAGCTGCTGACCTATGAAGAGCAGGAGCACTGCCAGCAAAAGATTGCCAGGTTTCTGGGTTACAAGTCCTTGGCAGGTGAGAGGCCAGCGGCTGCGGGCGCCGGGGCTCGCCGGGGACGGTGGCAGCGCCCAGGGGAGCGCGGGACGGAGCGCGGCTGCTCCGGCACCTGCGGCCGCGCACGCTGCAGGCAGCCCTGCACGAAGAGGAAACAAGGATCTGTGCGGGAGAAGCCGCTGGGGTCTGCTGAGCTTGTCAGAGGTCAGAAAGTCTCTGGAGGAGACAGATGGCCCAGGGGCTGGAGACGACAGGTAAAATAGGGCACGAGAGCAGTGGCTCCCGGGGCGTCTGCGGCACGTAGCCGCGCGGGCAGCGCACTCAGGGCCCAGCTGAAGTATCTCGCAGTGGCTGCGCGAGCACAGATGTGGGAAAGGGGCTTCGCTCCGGCCTCAGGAGCGTCGGCAGGGAGGGCTGCTCGGCCACACCGGCTTCGGATCCCACGAGCAGTTCCCACGGTCTCCGGCGGGAGGAAGGCTGTGGTCTGCCGCTCCTTCAGCCTCCCTTCAGCCTACAAACCAGCTGTGGCAGGAGGAGCATTTGGGGCTTTGTGTTTAGACAGCAAAAGCAGTGCAGGGCGAGTTTGGAAAGAAAGGTTTTGCTCTTTGGGTTGGGGCTGCTTTGATAACTTCCAGATTGCTCTATTCTAAACCATTTACATTCTGTTGGCATGCTTATCTTAGACTCCACATAGGTAGAAGTGTAGGAAAGAGGGGTTGTTTGAAGCGATCCTCTCTTGTTTGAAGAGATGCTCCTTGAGGAACCGTTGTTTTAACGCAGTCTCTCCCCTCACAGGGAGAAGCAGCTCTTGTGGTGCTGGTGCGAGTACCCCGCACCGTGCATGGGAAAGGGCGATGTGCTCATCTAATTCACACTCAGTTGTAACTGCTGTTCTGTGCACAGAAAAATAGTCAAATGTACAGAAATTTGTATATATTCCTAACAATTTAAGCCCTAAGATTAACTTATAAACATCAAAAGGCATTAGAAGGAATTTTGTACATTTTCAGTTCGCCACTGTGTTTTAGCAATAAATGACAGGTAACCCCAGCCCAGTACAGAGGCCTTGGAGCCAGCGCTGCGAGCGCTGGCATGAACCTCCCGGGACGGGAGCCCTTGGCTGGCAGCCGGGCCCTGAACCTGAGGCGCTCCCATGGGTAAAAAAGCGATTTTCGACCATTTGCAGTTCTGAATGTTTTGGTGCATTAGGTGTATCTGTCTTTAGAAGCATGATGGCCAGAGATCTCTGAATTTGGGCTAGTTCTTCGCTCGGGCTTATTCCAAACTCAGTGACTATCTCTGTTTTGTGTATCGGGCTGCCTAAGCCCTGGTCTGTTTGATTCCATCAAGAGTGATGCTCTGGCCCCTCTGCTCTGCTGCACGTCTGAGCCTCTCTGAGCTGTCACACTGAGCTACAGCACCGGCCGCTTGATGTGAGAGCATGGCTGTTGTAGGCAGCACTTCAATTTGCATCCCCTGATACTCCATTCGTATCCCGTGAGGGAGGAAGGACGTAGCTGGATCCTCCAGACCAGCCTAGCTGCAGGCTGGAGCTTCCCCTGCAGAACAAGCTGGTGGACGGCAGCGCTGCTGGAAAGGGAATCCAGCGGCAGTGCCCTGCGCCCGGGCATCCATCGCGCTCGGCTCCGTGCCGGCAGGGGTGGTTTGTGCCGCGCGGTGGCTGCTGTGACCGCAGGGTGTCAGCCTGGGCATGGGGCTGAGCAGCCAAGAGCCGGGCAGGCAGCTCCGCTCGCGGCAGCGCCGGGTGGCCCAGCAGGACCCGGCGGCACCGGCTGTGCTCCTTGGTGCAGGGCTCGTGCTCTTTGGCACGGGGCTCGTGCTCTTTGGTGCAGAGTTTGTGCTCTGTGGCATGGGGCCCTTGCTCTTTGGTGCAGAGCTCCTGTTCTTTGGCGCTGGGCTTGTGCTCTTTGGCACGAGGCTCCTGTTCTTTGGTGCAGGGCTCCTGTTCTTTGGTGCAGGGCTCATGCTCTTTGGCGCAGAGCTCGTGCTCTTTGGCACAGGGCTCGTGCTCTTTGGTGCAGCGTGGCCGGCCCCGTGCAGTGGCGAGGAGCGGCCGCGCCGAGTCCCCTCCCGGCCGTGCCTCACCAGCGCCTTCTCCCTTGCAGCGGAGCCCGAAGGCGAGGAGCGTCCCCGCAGCGCTGCCCGCGCCGCCTCCCTGTGCCGCGGGAGCCTCCGCACCCCGCGCCCCGAGGACGGCGCCGCAGCAGGTGGGTCCCGCAGGGCGGTACCGGGAGCCCACGGGGACGGGGGGACACGGGGGTGCTGGGGGCTGTCCCAGCACCAACGTGCTCTGCCCCAAGTCAAATTCTGCCCTTCTCTGAGTGCCAATGGGGGCAGAAGGGACCAGTCAGTATACAGCCAGCTCAGTCTCGGGCTAGAAAGCCGTTTTTTCACCAGCAGCTGAAATAAGAAATTCCAGTGTGAAGCTGCGTGGGCTATGGCTGTTCACTGCTCCAATCCCTTCCATTGCTCAGAAGGGAGCTGCAAGAATCATCAGTCCAAGGAGCTGGATATAATCCAAATGCTTCTGCCCACTTCCCCTCCCCATGCTGCCAACGATGCTTCACTTTAGTGTTATAAACGCGGCTCAGCTCCAGCTGCTCTGATCCCTCTGCTCTGTGCTGCAGTTTCTCGTTTCCCTGTGAACTGTCTTGAACACCATCAGATGCGTAGATAAAACAGCATTTGTGAGATGTGTGTGAAGAAGCAGTGCTGGTTCTAAAGGAGATCACAGTTCAGTAGCACTTTGAACAGCCCCATGGCACAAACCTTCCCTGTTTTCACAGTAAGCTCTCTATCCCCCCATCTGAAAACCCCAGCCTGCCAATATTGCTGCAGGGCTCTCTCTAGCCCCCTCAGATCTCTAGGCCTCTCTTCCAACACACCCTGGGTTGCAGGCTGTAGTTCCAATCCTCCAGGTCTCTGCCCTCCTCTCCCAGATGGCTGTACAGGGCATCCTGCCTATCTCTCCACCACCCCACTTGGCGCTGATTGCAAAGGGCACTCACCTGTGACTGCTCTTACTTCTGAGCACCACCTCCCGCACTGTGCCCGGCCACCTTCCTCCAGGAGCTGCTTGGAGCTCTTTACGTTGCCAGTGTGGCCATGTCCCCGCTGCTGGGTGTCGCGGAGCTGCCAGGCTGGCTGCACTCTGCTCCAAGACGTGGCCCCAGGGAAGAAGGGAAGAGCTCCCTGACCTGCCTCTGAGCGGGGCTTCTGCTTCCTCATTGCACTGGGAGGATCCCAGGCAGCTCCATACGATGCAGGAAGCCTCTCGCCCCAGACAGATGTTGGCCAGCTGCAGGGTGGGGAGCAGCACTGTCCTCAGCCGCCCTGCAGATAAATGAGCACGTCTGACCTGTGCTGACCTCAATAATTTGGATGAAGCAGCCCGGAGCCTGACAAGGGCCTGACGTGCATCCTGTCCAGAACGATTCTAATTCACTTCCCTGCATAAACCATTCGTTTAAAGACCCCTCAGGGCATTCTTGGGCCCCAGAGCTGGGGGTGATGGGTTGGCTGCCGTGGAGCCTCGGTGCCGATGAGCAGCTCTGTCAGCAGCAGGATGGTAGCCGTGCTCCAGTGTCCTCTTTCATTAGTGCCAGACACATCAGCCCTGCCTCGTTCTTCCCTTTTGGCCATTAAAAGCTGGGCTTTGAGCACACAGATGTGAACCCCGGTGCGCGTGGGAGCTGCTTCACGGTGCTCTCTGCAGATCCACCTGCTTGCAGCGGGCTGAAGCTGGCCCCGAGTGCTGAGATAAAAACACGGTAGCTGAAAGGAGATGTAAATCTGTTCCATCTGCTCTCCAACAGTTTGGAAAAGGCAGGGATTATAAACTGCCACTTCCCCGCAGTCATTCGTACACCTGCCTAAATAAATCAGGGCTCTGAGCACTTCTGTGAGAAACGGGACTGCCTCAAGCCATTAACCCCTGGACAGAAACTCTCCCCAGATGAAAGTGGGAAGCAGGGCTTAGTGTGGAGGCGGTCAGGTCGGCTGAACTGAGCTGAGCCGAGCTCAGCTGAGCCCTCTCCAGGGTCTGGCCCTGCTTGTCCCTGGCGCCCCAGCTGCGCCTGGTCCCAGCTCCCTCGGTGGCGGCTGCGGGAGGCGGCCATAGGACAGGGATTGGATCCCAGTGCGCGGAGACGGGGCCTGCCCTGGGCTCCCGAGGAACGGGGCTGGAGGAGAAGCAGCCAACAGAAAGGAAGAATACTGAGATGAACACTGGAATGTCTCAGCACCTGCAGCAATCTCTGCAGAGCGCAGCCCTCTAAATACAAATTAGATAATTTCCCTTACCTTTAATATTCTAATAGAAATACTCACTTGACGCCTTCAGTCTGGATAACACCAGTAAAGTCCCTCATTAAACACACTGTAATGAAAGCGCTGCTCAGATGTGGATTTACAGGACGCTCCATGAATCTGCCAGTTGGGTAGACTGAGAAATACATAATATTCTTGTTTTAGAGAAGAAAAAAATGAACAGAGGGAGACCAAGGGCAAGGCACGGGAGGGTTTTCCCTCAGCTGAGCTTGTGTTGTAGCACACGCCGCGGCTCGGTGCTTGGCTGGTTCGGCTGCATCCAGATCCCAGCGTCTCTGTCCTTGCGCCCGCGCGCAGGGGCCCGGCCTCCTCGAGCCCCTCGCTCAGGACACTTGCGGTGCCGTGTCCTCTCCCAGGTGACATGAGAGGAGTCGGGCCAGGCAGCAGCACCCGGGGCAGGCGCGTGCGGAGCGCATGCCCAGGCTCCTGACTGGCTCCTGTCCTTCCCAGCAGGTCAGAGCGACACGGTGGAGGTGCCAGTGCGGCTGATCCCTGCGGAGAGACAAGCTGGAGATGGCACGTCCCTCCCCGAAATGCCCAACCCCAAAATGGTGCGAACTTGGCTTGTCTGGGCACATTTGGGGTGGGGGCTGCACCTCTCTGCGGGGCTGTGCTCGCCCGCTGGGTCCTGCGTGGACACGTCCCTGGGAAGCTCCCTGTCCGGTCGAAGCGGGACCTTCGCTGCTGCAGGGAGGCTCTGTGATCTGCTGCTCTTTGTGTGGACAGGGGAAAGCAGATACAGGGAATGCACGCAGGATGTTCTGACCACATCCCTTGGAGCTCTTCTCCAAAACACGACCTGGGCAATGAGTTAAGTGTAATAGCGCTGCTGTCTGGCAGTGTCTTCCGCAGCCGTGTGAGCACCAGGCTCCTGGGCGGCTTCAGGGAAGGGGAAGGAGCCTTGGTTTTGTGTGACGTGGGCTTTTAGAAAATCTAAGGACAGGGGCGAGCAGGGCTTAGTGACGGGTAGACAACCTGTGTCCAGGACGGCACGGCGCTGGGAGCTGTGCACGACGTTTCTGGAGCTGGACGCTGACTGCAGCTCTTTGTCCTTTCTTCAGATGTCGGCTGTCTATGCAGAATTAGAGAACCGCCTCATTGGCAGCTTTGCTGGGAAGATGAGCAATGCTGCTCTGCACAGAGCTTCGCCTCCTGCCCCGGAGCAACCGCGGGCTGCAGGTACCACCCATTTCCCCACTGCTTCTGGGAGAAGCAGCTTATTTATTTACTTATTTTTGCTGATACAACGTAAGGTGATGCTGGGCAGGTGGACTGAGAAGGAGATGTCTTTCTCTTGGTGCCATTTTATAGTGAAACATTAGGAAAGTCCAATGATAGCCCCTCAAGGCTCCATATTCAGAAGGGGAGCACAGTGCCAGGGTGAGCAGAGCAGCCTGTGCTTGGCCCAGCACATTGCCCTGGGATCCCTCATTTCTGCAGCCTCGTCCCTGTGTCCGGGCACAGCCTGCACTGGGCGCTCTGCAGCTCGCGGATGGGAGAGCCCCGGGGAGCTGCCCCCGGAGCCACCGGCCGGCGGGGACCCCATTCTGCTGCGCTGTGTCCCCGCAGGCGCTCGCAAGTCGGGGATGTCCATCTCGTGGCACAGCGACCGCCGGCCCTCGCAGCAGTGCTACTACCAGCTGCAGAGCAGCGTGGCGTCGCCGAGCAGCACCGAGTCCAACCCCTACGTGAGCCTGGACAGCAGCCCGGCGCCGTCGCCCCAGCACGGCGACTACTCGCTCAGCCCCCTGTCACGACGGAGGAAGCTCTTCACCTTCTCGCGCCCGCCGCGCAGCCGCGACACCGATCGCTTCCTGGACGCCCTCAGCGAGCAGCTGGGCCACAGGGTCACCATCGTGGACGATTTCCTCACCCCTGAGAACGACTACGAGGAGGTGAGTGTGGCCGGGGGTGGCTCTCAGCTCTGTCCTGCCCGCTCCGGGGGTGCCGAGGACTCGCATGCAGTGCGGAGGCTGCTGTGGCTGAGGTCGGGCAGCGCCTGCCCCGCGGCTGGGGCTCTCCTGCTGCAGCCTCCCTTCTCCGTCCCCTAGATGAGCTTCCACGACGACCAGGCCAGCTATGTGACCAACGACGCGAGCAGCACGAGCGAGTACGTGAGCAGCAGCGACGAGGGCAGCTCGCTGACGTACTCCACGCTGTCGGACCACATCCCGCCGCCGCCGCTCAGCCCGCCGCCGCCGCCGCCCCCGCTGCACTTCCACGACCCCCCGCCCGGCCCCGCCAAGGCCGAGCTCCCCAAGAGCAGCCCGGCGCCGGTGCCCAAGCCCCTCGGGAGCCACCTGCACCCCATCCCGCCGCCGCCGCCGCCACCGCCGCCGCTGCCCTGCGCGCCGCCCCTGCACCGCGGGCTGCTGCACCGCAGGGCCGACTCCAACCACATGAGCGTCAAGAGGCTGCGCTGGGAGCAGGTGGAGAACTCGGAAGGGACCATCTGGGGACAGGTACATGCCTGGCGGGGCCACGGGGACAGGGGCCAAGTAGCCCTGTGCTTGAGAGCACCCGTGGGTTGTGCTGAGGGGAGGCAGCCACGGTCGGGCAGGAGGAACCTCCATGGGAAAGACCCTTCTCTCTTGCTCGGTGCCTTGCGCCGCGTCTGTCCTTTCTTCCCTGCAGCATCAGCTCTTACCCACTTGTTAGGACACAAATTCAGTACCTTGGCCAAGCAATAGCACTCTGAAGATGCTCTATCAAAGCATCTGAAGATGCTCCTCCTTTTCACTGCTTGGACTGAAATGGAAGGGATGAGAAGGTGCTCACTGGTGACCGGGGCTAGAAATTGCCTGGAATGATATTTGCTCCTGGGTGTCCTGGGGCCTCTTTGCTGTCCCTGTCTCCATGGATTGATCCAGGCAGGAGCTGCCTTCAGACTCATTCAGCAGCTGCAGATTTTATCAAGAGGGGACCGTGAGCCCGGCTGTGTGCACAGGGAGTGGTGGAGAGAGCACCAAGGCGGGGGAAAGCCCTCGGAGGGCTGCATGTGAGAGCTGCATGTGCTAATTCTTTGGCATCGTTAAGAGATGCAGGAATCTTGAGGGGGTTAAATCATTGTGGGAAGATGAGGTTTAAATTCCAGCTTCTGTGTTTCTCGTTGCAAAGAGCATGTTTAGATGTGCCGTGTTCTCCATGCCCTGAACAGTTAGTGAGCTGTCAACTGCAGGACCGCCTCCTGGTCCCACAAGTCCTGTCCTTGGGGCAAGCACTCGGGTGCTGCAGCCCGGGGCCTCTTCCCTTCACAGGCCACAGAACAGGATGTTTCTTCCCAGCGTTTCTAGGGATTTTGGGTGAAAATTCCTGAAGTTTCTGGAATTCCCATTTTGTGCTTTAGTAAAGCAATCCTGCCTAAGTAGCATGGGAACAGCAGCATTATTTTGTAGAATTTCAGCTGTGTGTAGCAAGCTAAATTAATCCAGGGGGGCAGTGGTGCCAGCTGCAGAGATAAAAGGAAATGCTGAAAGGATAAATCTCTGGGCTTCTCCCTTTCTTCTGAAAAGAGAATGGGTCCCATGGGATGTGCTTAGCAACTAATGCAAAATCTGTCTCCACAAGAGGTAAATGATGCACCAGACTCTGGTTTCTGCAAGGGATTTATAATGGCTGAATCTCCAGTTGAAAGGGAAATGCCATCAATGTGTCCTGGGTTTTCCAGGGATGCAAAGCTTAGGGTGGTGTTGGGAATGCAGCACACAAGAGGAGGACAAGATAGGGCTGCCCTGGGCACCACGTTACTGACTCCTTTTCCTCCCGCAGCTTGGAGAAGACTCGGATTATGACAAGCTGAGTGATATGGTCAAATACCTTGACCTGGAGCTGCACTTTGGAACGCAGAAGCCCACAAGTAAGCACACAAATGCCACACGTTATGACTAGAACCAGTCCCAGCACTAGGGGAGATAAGGGGAACTAAGAGAAACTAAAGGAAATCACTAGTAAAATAATGTCTAGGTCTAGCACCACTGCCAGCACAGAATTCGTACTCAGGATTTTGTGACTGACGGCACTGCAGATTATTAAGGTGGGGATAATTTACAGTCTCCCTTAATTTTCTCAGTTGCCCCTGTGTGTTTCCTTTCTGCATCTCAGTGACCTGGGCAGTGAAACTCAGCTGGCTGGTTTCACTCCCTGTGATGCTCAGCTCTGCTTCCCAGCCCTCGTGGGCCTTGTTCTCACACTGCTGTGTCTAGCCACGCTCATACCGCATGGGAAAGCTCAGCTGCCAAGCAATGTTGTTCACTGCCACAAAGGACCTGTTTTTCAGTAGAACAGGAACTTGAACCTGCACCGTATATGTAACAATCTGTACACGGTTATTACTGTGTGTGTGCGCTAGGTGAACTGCACTGAGAACTCGTCAGCTGGGCTCCTAACTGCTGTTTGTGATGCACAGATACCTGGTTGTGCTAAAAGCAACAGCAGCGAACTGCAAATTAAGGCAAGAATTGCAGCTCTGTTGCCTTGAGAACTAAGGCCTGGAAAAAAAGAAAAAAGAAAACGTCTTTGTCCATAGAGGGCAATACAAGTAACGCTCTGCTTGTTACACATAAAGCCTATATGTGAGGCCCAGTGCTGGCTGTCAGTACAGGCAGAGCATCCCCCATTCAGCAGAGTGCTGGGCAGCCCTTAAATCTGGGTCCTTGCAGCCCTTAAATCCAGGCTTCCCTATAGATGCAGAGCAGCCCGCGCTCTCGAAGGGCGGCCGGGAGCAGGGCCGGGCTGGCGGCAGCGCGGAGCGGAGACGAAGTGAAACCGAGCGGCCAGAAGGGCAGGCTCCACGCTCGCCTTTTTACCCAGCAGAGCAAAATGTGAATGGGATGTCAGGGCTGCCCTGAGATGAACCCGGTACCAGATGGCACACACTGGCAGAGCGGAGCAGGGAGCGCTAGTGTAGCATGATGCAAATGGGATTTGACAGTGGAAGTGGGATGAAATGGGTTTGTTCTCAGGGGGTGTCTTTTGTAGAGATGTTTCTGGGTAATCGAGGAATGTCTGTGTATTTTACCTCTTGTTTTACCTTTTTCAGCTCCAACTGAGTCTTCCATTCAGGAGATCTTTGAATCACAGAATTCAAGGATTCCCGGAGCCATTGCTGTGTGCAAAGCATCAGTTCTGCTCTCTCTCATTCATGAGTTACTGTTTTCTGCAGTTTTCTTCCTGCTGGAGTCGGCTGAGCGTGTCCTTACCCATGATTAAATCTTTCAGTTTCTCTTCCAGAACCAACTCTCATGCCTGAGTCCTTTAAAAAGAAAGATGTGGTTGAAATTTTGTCCCACAAAAAGGCCTACAACACATGTAAGTAAACATCACAGTGAACGTACCCCCAAAACGGACCCAGAGATGGGTCCAGGGCTGTAGAGAACTGGAAAGGTAAAAGGAAGGAGGCTCGATGAGTGCATCCCAGCACTGCTGCTTGTGCCTGGGCGGTTCTTGTAGCCTAGAGGACTCCACTGATGGAATGACCTTAGGCTGGGAATCCGCCTTGGCCAGAGAGGCTTTAAAAGAGGACCAGGGTGGGATGAGACTCATTAGCCCGCAGAGGCAGAAGGGGAAGAGCTCGCGCAGTCACTCGGGGCGGTGGCTGGTGTGTGGGGCAGCCCCACAGCCGGTAAGGAAGGGACCATGGTGGGTTCTCCAGGATGCACCTCTGGCAGGTACAAAGGGGCGGGAGGGCTTGGGGGGATCCTGCAGAGACCCCAACTCTCCCGGCCCACTGAGGGATGTAGGAGAGAGAGAGGTGCTGGGAATCCTGCCCAAGCTCCATCTCCGGTTCCTCTGAACCCAAAGGCTGAAATCCGTGTGCCCCTAGTCCTGCGGGGCGATTCCCTTCCTGGCCCCTTGTGCAGGCAGCCCAGCCCAGCCTGGTCCTGCCCTCCTCCTCCTCCTGGTGAAGTGCCTGCCTTCCTCTCCAGCCATCCTCATCGCCCACCTCAAGCTCTCGCATGTGGAGCTGCGCCAGATCCTCATGACGATGGAGACGGACCGCCTGGAGCCTTCCCACATCAAGCAGCTCTTGCTCTACGCCCCTGACGGCGAAGAGGTCCAGCGGTACCAGAACTACAAGGACAACCCCAGCAAGCTGAGTGAGCCAGACCAGTTCGTGTTACAGGTGAGCGCGCGCGGCGATGAACTCCAGCCGCGAGGAGCTCTGGACGTGTGGGCTGCTTCCAAGTGCAGGGAAGATGCCAGGGAGCACCGCACAGCTAGGATCTGGAAGCCTCGGCTCATGGTGATAGTAGTAATTTTCTCTTCTTTTGTTCTCAGATGTTATCGGTACCAGAATACAAGATCCGCCTGCGCAGTCTGCATTTTAAGAGCACCCTGCAGGAGAAGACAGAGGAGATCAAAGCTAGCTACGAGTGCATCTGCAAGGCCTCTCTGGAGCTGAAAAGCAGCAAGAAGCTGGCGAAAATCCTGGAGGTGAGAACAGTCCCTGCTCCTGGTGACAGCCGCTGGGGGCCTCCAGTGTCCACGAGGGAGCTTGCAAGCAGCAAGGAAGCTCGCTGGAGCCCGAGCACTGCTCCAGTCCCAGGGCTGTCCTGTCCTCCCGCCTCCTCCCCATCCAGCCCAACCACCGTTTCCCGGGACCCAGACGTGCGGTGCACAGAGGGGCACTGTGCGTGCGGGAAGGCACGAGTGCAGCCTCGCTGGCCGCAGCTGCTCAGATGACCCCCACAAAAATAATTTGGTTTTGCTTTAGAAGACAAGAAAACAAAACAAAACAGGCAGGATAAATAAGAACATGATGTGCCAAAAGACATTTCCAGATGAGAGATGAAACTCCTCCATGGGTTCTGCCCAGTAACCCCGTAACACCTGGTTAAGTGCTTGGGAGGCAATGCTAGCTGCACATTAACTTGCACTTAGCAGGAATTCACAGCCCTGGATGAAAAGCAGGCAGGGAGCCTTGCTCTGGCCTCCTGTCAGGCAGGCCCTGAGGTCCCTCTGTTTGTCACCAGGCACAACCAGCCCTTCCCAGGCAGGGAAAGCTGGGAAGTTCAGCCTGAGGGTCTTGTACAGCATATGGAGTCAGAGGAATCTAGAAGGGAAAACATGGCTTTGCTATTTCATTTTAAAAGAATGCCTTAAAGATCTGCACAAATGAGCTAAAAAAGGCTTTTAGACCCAGAAAGTTTAGACACTCTGCTTACTGCTGAGCTGGAAAGCACAGGCGGAGAGGTGCTACAGGCAGGGAGATCCCAGAACACCTGCAGAGCCAGCCCTGCTCCTGAAACAGAAAGTGCTGAGAAAGAAAAAGGCAGAACTAAACTGTGCACAGCTAAAGCCGAAGAGTGCAGCACAATGGTGCTCTGGGATGCTCCATGCTGCCGGAGAAGAGAACAGTCTGTCCCGTCAGACACCCATCCTTGTGCCCTGGGGCTGTCACGCTCATGGGCCACCAGCAGCTCTTGTCCTGGGCTGCTATGAGTGCCCCATGCGGGTGTGACAGGACGAACAGCGTGCCCCAAACCACAGGACGAACAGCGTGCACTGAACCACAGGACGAACAGTGTGTCCTGAACCACAGGACGAACAGTGTGCCCCAAACCAGAGCTTTCCCTCCACACGCAGTCCCCCCGCTAACGTAACGCCCTCACTGGATTGCAGCCTTGGCTGATGTTCTGGTTGCTCGTGGACTGTGGCCCTGGCAGAACCAGCTGCCAGGCAGGAGGAGCAGGATGCCTTCCCGCTTGCTGTGCCTGGAGGCTCTTTATCTCCGTTCCTGCTGCGTTCTTAGTAGGTCCCTCTGACCCAGAAGCGAGTACAGGAGCAGAGGGAACAGGGCAAGTGCTGCAGGTCACTGCCAGTCACTCACACCATTTCCTTCTGCAGTTTGTGCTGGCCATGGGAAACTACCTGAACAACGGGCAGCCCAAGACTGGCAAAACAACAGGCTTTAAGATCAACTTTCTCACCGAGGTAAGGAGATGAAGCACGCTGCTGCTTCCAGCAGCTCCCAGGACCCATTCACCAGCCTGCCCTCGTGCGAGGGAGGGAGCGACCCCAGCGGGAGGGCAGGCACTGTATCACAGCCGGACTCCAGAGAAGCACCAAAGGGCCGGTGCATTGCGGTGCTGGCACCCCAAGCTCACAGCCTGCTGGGCCAGACCTAAGGCTTTGTGGCTGTGTGAGGGAGAAAATGAGAATCTTTATCCCACCTGGGCAGCTGAGGTCCGTCCTGGCAGGGCAGGGGCAAGAAGGGATTCCTGGAAGGTGGGAAACGGCTGCGGTTCCTGGGCCTGGGGAGGAGGAATGCCGCTGATCTGGGTGTAGCACACTGTGTAAACATTAAACGTCTTCCTTAAACATTAATCCAGCTAGTGGGACTGGGAATTGCCATACCCGTCAATGCAGGATGAGCCAGGCAGGATAGAGGAGTGTCCGTGTGTTCTGGCAACCACAGGTGAACCGAATGCCTGGCAAAACCCACTCCCTTTTGTGTATGAGTCCTCTTACTTGTTTGCTTTGCTGTAGCTGAACACAACCAAGACTGTCGATGGGAAATCCACCTTCCTGCACATTCTTGCCAAATCGCTTAGCCAACACTTCCCAGAGCTCCTGGGATTTGCCAAGGACCTTCCCACAGTGCCGCTCGCCGCCAAAGGTACATGAACGGAGAGCACGGCAGGGAGCCGGGCGCAGGCGAGGCCGGGGCCGCCCCGCGCAGGGTCTGCGCCGCTGCGAAGCTGCTCGCAGCCGCACATGCCGGGCACCGGCAGGAGGGCAGCAACGCGGCGGGGCCGGAGCGGCCTCCAAGGGAGCCTCGGGCCGCCAGTGCGCGTGGGGAGCTCCAGGAGGCCGGGCTGCTGCACCCGCGGGCTGCATGCTGAGGCCCAGCCTCAGCGGAGGCCAGCCCGGCTCCTGGGGGCCGCGGGGCCACAGTCCAGCTGCAGGGCGCCCGCGGCGAGGGATGGCCGAGCTGCTTAGCTGGGTAACAAAGTCACTCAGAGCTGCGGTTATCACCCCAGTGCTGATGACATTCGCAGCGTTCACACGTCGACTGGATGTGAATCATGGGGCTGCACCTCCTTTGCACCCCCCTCTCCCCTGCTGCTTATGAATAATTCCCTTGGGAATTAGTGCTTAAAATGGATAAATAAAGCAGAAGATTCAGGTGAGGAGACTTATCTCCTGGTGTTTACGCCTGTGGCTTTCCTAGTTGATTCTTTCTGTATTTGGCCTAATCATATAGGCAGCAGAGGGATGTAGTACAACCAGCTCCTTGTGGCAGACGCTGCAGTTCCCCTTCCCTGTAGGAGCCACGATGGATGCACAGGCCACGACAGCCCTCTGCGCACGGGGGCAGCGCGATGCAGCTCCAGCTCCACCGCTGTTCTCCGCGCCCGCCGTCCCGCTCTAGCAGCAGGTTGGTGGGTAGGTCTCGGTGATGCTCACGAGTCCTCTCCTCCCATGCAGTGAACCAGAGAACACTAACAGCAGACCTTAACGACCTCCACGCCACCGTGGGGGACATTCAGATGGCCTGCCGCAACATGCCAGCCACCGCGGAGGACAGATTCGCCATCGTGATGACTGTATCCTTCTGCCACAGGGGCAATTCACCGGTGTGACCTGCTGCCTTCAAGGGAAATCATCTAATTATCCCTCTGAAATGCTTTAGTTATATTTGTCCCTGTTGTATTTACCCCTAACTAGCAGTCCTGTGCCTGGCTGGCAGCAAAGCCTCCGCTCAGCCCCTGGTGAAGAACTCCACCCTTTCCTAAGCAGCAAGGAAAAGGGTGCTTGGACTGTCGGCCGGCCCACGTGCCTCCCTGCACGAGGCCACAGAGCCTCCAGGGTTGTCCTTCCTCACGTAGAGGGTGCTCTCAGTGACGGCCTCGCATGCCGAGCAGGTCCCCTTGCACCCTGCAGTTACTGCCTTTGCAGCAGATGCCTGTTTTCCCTTAAGCCGTTTCTCAGTCCTTTCTGGAGAGCGCGCAGCCGGCCATGCGGTCTCTGGACGATCTGCAGCACAAGGCCATGGAAGACTTCAGCAAGGTGCTCTCCTTCTTCGGGGAAGACTCTAAAGTGACAACTTCGGAAGCTTTCTTCGGCATTTTTGCAGAATTCATGAGCAAGTTTGAGGTGAGCTGCATAGCTAGCATGGGGATCCTGTTAAAAGCCAGTGAAGTCTTTACTTGCACGTGAGCTATGGGAGCAAGATGAGCTTTCGGTGAGCACATGTGCCCGAACGTCTGCAAAATGCCACTTTTTAAACACGCACTGAGATTGAGTGGCAGGCGCAGGCGGCTGAGACGAGGGTTGGTCTCGGGGAATAAAGCAGAGGTTTTAGTGCCTGCTGCTCGTGGGTAAGACGCTGTGCAATGCGGATGGCCGTGACCGTGGAGCACGGCCATGGTGTGCATGGGGAGCAGCTGCCCAGGGGATGCTCCCCCAAGCGCCTGGCATGAAGCGGGGCTCCCGCCCGGGCGCCCTGCCATCCCAATTCCCCTAAGGAGAAGCTGGGGCCAAACCTGGTCCTGCCTCAGGAGCCCACGAGGGCCCTTCCTGCCGCGCTGCTCAGCCTGGCCAGCCGCAGGCACGGGGTCCCGGGGCACCTCAGGGACACCAAGGCCTCGGGGCGGGCGCCCCCGCGATGCCCGCGCTGTGCCCGGCGGCCGCCCCGCTCCTGACGCTCCTGTCTCCCTCTCTCCCGCAGCGGGCGCTCAGCGACGTGCAGGTCGGCGAATGCCAGCGCAGCCCCAGGGTCACCTCGCCCCTCGCCTGGTGACGGGCCTGCCGCCACGGGAGGTGCAGCCACCCATTGCCAACAAAGTGCAATTTGCTCCCGTTGAATCGGGTTGTAAATACGCTGCTGTCGCCTGCTAGCACCACGCAGAGCCGAGGACCACGGGGACGGGGCGGCCTGGACGCTGCAAAGGCACCATGGCTGGATGCTGGATGAGGCACAGCCGCGTGGTCTCCATGACATCCCGGGCATCCTCCATCCCCACACCTTCCTGCATCATGGATAGCAGACACAAGTGGATAAATCCCGAGCTCCCACACTCCCAGAACACACCCAACTGGCACCAGCAACCCCTGGAGACCGTTCCCTACTCCCATAGTCCCGCGTGGCTCTGCACGGAGCCTGCCCTTCCTCGCAGACCTCTCCCCTTCCTCCTCCTGCTTCCAAGCCGCCTCGGGGCTGGCAGCTGCTGCATGCGGCCGGGTGAAGGGCTGGAGTTTTACTGACCTTAATGGCTACTGGAGAGGGCAGGAGGTAGCCCAGAGGTTTTAATCCATGGCTAGAGTCAGCCAGGGACACTGGAAAGAACAGGCACCTTCCAGAAACCTTTGTGGCATATCTGCATGCTCATACATACAGACCCAGTCCCATTTTAGGGAGTTGCTTTAGAGAACAAGGAATTCCCCATGTCCGTCCTTTGCTTTTAGATGTGGCAGCGACTGACAGCCCCTGAAACCTCACAGAGCATTTACGATGGTTGTGCCAGGAGCCATAAACCCCTGCGAAACGGGGGCCGTGCTGGGAAGCGCAGAGCCAGGGGCAGTGCCGGCTCCCGGAGGGCTCCCAAGCGTGGGCAGCGCCGGGGACGCACCCCGGCAGCACCGCGGCAAAGGCGCTGCCGCTCGGCCAGCCGCACCGTCCCGCGCCTTCCCAACCCCGCTGTAGCAAGCCAGTTATTATCTTCACGGAGTTACTGTCTTCAGGCGTTCTCAGCTGACAGAGCTTCAAGTGCCAGGTAGTTTAGAGCATTGTGTTATTGGAGGCCCAGCCCTGTCCAGCTCTGTCTTTTCTCTCCGCTGATGGTGGTGATAGGACAGTGATTACCCATCCCCAGGCTCTGTTTCGGATGTTTTACACTGCATTGTTTTTTTCTTTTTTTTTTTCTAAAATATATTAAATATTTAAACCACTGGAGGTTATTTTGAAACTGTCGTTAAAAATGTGAAAATGCTGTATATAGATTTTGCTACATGTTGTAACTTTCCCAAATAGTTAGAAGTCCAATCCCTTTGGTATTTTTATGTGAATATTTTCAAAGACCAGTCACAATTGACCCTCTACCCAATGCCTATGTGCTATTCCCCAAATAAAGCTACTGCCTTCTGCCTCCTGGCTGCATGGGAATCTGTGTTACGTTCAAGACCGCTCTGTGCACAGGTGTAGATGGAAGCTGTGAGGAGCTCAGGGTTTGATGCTTCTGGACTGCGGGTTTTGATTTTGGCTCCTCACATCTCTATGGAGTAGATGCAGAAAATGACCTTGCCTAATTTGGGTGGTATGGGGAAAATAACTGCATAACTCTGAAAAAACGTTGCCTATGAGTCAGCATTTGGGCTGGCATGGTGAATTTTAGCAGGAAATTTTTAAAATAATATGGACTTTTTTCTGCAGCCTTCAGAAGAAAACATTGAGTGAGTGTATGAGCCGGGGAATTGTTTCCTCCTGAAATGGCATTCTTGGCTGAAGGCGAGTTTACGTCCCTGCCACAGCTGACGTCCCTTTGCTCCCGCAGCAGGTAGATAGGGACTCGCCGTGCATCACATTTCCTGGTTGTAGTTTAGCTTGTTTACAGCCGTCTGCCCGGGCAGCAGTTCCTCCCGGGAGGCGGCTGTGGAGCGGGCTGGAAAATGCCCTTGCCAGGAGGGAGCAGGAAGGCTGCAGAGCGGAGCCCTGCCAGGCACGCTCAGGAGGGGCCCGCGCCTCTCCCGGCGCTCCCGCCTCGGCGGATGCTCCCTGGGGTCGGAGCAGCGCCCGGGGAGCGGCAGCTGTCGGGAGCATCTGGGAGGGCTCCCGCAGCGCCCGGCCAGCCCCAGGCTCCGCGCTCCCCCGGCCCGTGCAGCTGCAGCAAACCTTCAGTGCCCACAGGAAGGGTGACCTGAAGCCTCCGTCGCAGCTTTCTGCATCGTGACAGTCAGCAGAATTCAAGCCACACGCTTGTTGCTTCGTTCTTCCCATTTAAATTCAAGCGTTAAATATTTTCTTCCCCAGAAAAGCACTGTGCTGGCTGGGACGTCTCCCTTTAGCCTCGAAAGCCAATCCCTCACAAAGTTCACGCTTCGGCCATGGCCATGGCAAAGTGTTTCCTTGAACAGGAAATATCTCATGAAACAGCCCCGTGGTGAGCGCCGGGATCACAACTGTGACCTGCTCCTCCTCGGCACGCATGATCCGTCCTTGCAAAGTGTCAGCAAAATCGAGACCATGACAATCTAAGGCTACGTCTAACACTTGGGAATGGGGAAGGATTTTCAATCTTTCCTGCACGAAATGGAAAATCTCAAGAAGAAAACGAGCTGTAGTGAGGTGACGGTGAAGACATGATCACAGCTCCACAAGTGGGCTGGTTATGAGGAGATATCAGGCTGGCATCTTCGAAGCTGCCCTGGATGCATCTTGGAAAAGGTCTGAAGGACCGTGATCTGTGTTTGCTTTCCAGGAGCCAGGAGAGATGCCGAGGAGACAAACAGCAGTCTAACCTCCAACCTGGAGGGGCTGGAAGTGAAAGGCTGCGGTGCCTGGGAGGGAGCACAAGGCATCCAGATGCTCCACGGTCTGCATTGTTCTATCACAACTTTAGAAAAAGAAACGGAGCTTCCAAAGTTCAGCAGAGCAAATTACAGCATCTCCAATCACAAGGTCCAAAGGCCTTTAGTCCATCTGAATTGTGAGCTGAGTGTGAAACGCTAGGATTAAAACATAAATCTTACAGGTTTTTCTTCTTTGTGTACTGGTTTCTTAGGCTTTGGGCTGTGTTTTTCTCTTTTTACATATTTAATTTGCTTCTGTTGTCAACCTAGAAAATTAATAAGTCCTGGTGAAAATCAAATTTCTGATTCTAGAACAGAATTTCTAAAATTTTGTTCTAGAAGAAAAATGCAGACTTGGAAATGAGTGATGAACCCCTTTCAAGGATGAACCTTAGTCTCTGTAAGCTTAGTCATAAATTCAGACACAGGACTAGCTGTCAGCTCCCTGCTCGGTCTTGTGATGTCATCTAAGGGGACATCAGGACCAACTATTTTATTGTTATTTGTCCCTTCTCTAGCTGCACAGATTGCTTAAGGGAATGGCACTCTTTGGAATTTGACCCATGAGCCCTGATAGTGAAAATAATACACTTCTCACAGAGGAGCAGGGGAATGAAAGAGTAACTTCGGGCAATTAGTTTAACTTTGACTATAAATATTCCTTCTCATTCCTTGTGACACTGTTAACAGCTCCGCTGGCAAATCCTGATTCTCTGGCAATATTTAAGCTGCCTGTCAGCTGGCAGAAGCTTGGTGGTGCCTAGTGCAAGTGAACAGAATGAGACCCAGCTGAACGCAGTAAGTTTCCTTTCAGCTTCTACCTCGTATCTGGGGAGGACTTGCTTGATTCGGGGCTTTGGTTCTGCTTCTAGGCTGAGCTTTATGCCTGACAACTGGTGGCGGTGTTAGAAAGCGAAAGGAATGGGCACTGTTTTAAAAATCATGTTTAAGAGGCAGAGTGATAGGGACCCGCTGGGTTACCGGATACCCACGTGGGCCGCGGCTCTCCCGGGAGCAGTGATAAAGGGCTGGCTTCACCAGGTTCATTTCAATGCCACGGATGTCCTTTCCTGGCCGGGAAAGCACCGTGCCTTGTGCCAGGAACCAAGGGAGACGGAGCTGTGAGCTGAATTCACAAGAGGGGCAAAATTTCCACTGGGCCACGGCACAGAGAGAAGCTGGAATCAGAGCTACGGAGTTTGCTAACTTGCTTCTACTGCTCAGCCTTGCTGGGACCTGCAGGAAGATCTTTAAGCAAGCTCCTACAGACACACCTCGGGCCTTGGAACTTCATGTGGGTTTCCTCACCTTGCGGATGGAGCACCAATGCCCGCGGCGCTCTGCCCTGGACCCCCATGCACAGCACTGGGCACAAAGCAGCTCCTGGCTCCCGTACGGCCCCACGCACACGTGCTGCGCAGGGACAGGCACCGTGCTGCCGGTGCTGCACACCTGCCCGCACACCACGGCTTGGGATCGAAGCTACTAACACAGCAGCATCAGAGCAATGGAGGAGAAGGCAGGAGGTGCTACAAGGGGTTAGCAGCTTCCCAAGCTGGCGTAACGAACCACATTTTTCTTTTCCAAGCTAGAGGTTAGGCATGCCAGTGGAAACACAGCGAGAGCCAAGCTATTTTGCCTCTTAAAGAGGTAAGATACTGCTGATACCTGACTGTATCCTGCACCTTGCAAGACAAAAGTTAAAGAGAATTAAATGCAAGTGGGATCCAGGGGCTTTGGAAGGCACAGAAGGGATTCTGCCAGGTGCAAGCCCAGGGCCCAGTGTATTTGGCATTTGTGCTGCTTGCAGTTCACACCTCAGGCTACAACCTGCCAGCAGTGCAGAACAGCTAAAGGGGCTGTATGGGACTGGAAAACCGCTATTGCTTTCAGCTGCCGGTCAAAGCTGTAACTTAAATATACTTAAAATACTAACTTAAAATACTGACAAATGGGGGAAGCCAGTGGAGATTGTGAAACGCAGGAGCAAAACCAAGGCGGGTGCTGGAGGCTCTGAGCGCTCGTGCTCACAGGAAGAACTCGTTTGGCCGCTGCTCTCGCAGGTTGGCAGGGCACCGGGTCCTGGTGTGGGCCGTCACCCCACGGCCGCCGCTCGCTCCACCTTCAGTTGACGCGTCCCAAACGCGCCCAGTTGACGTGACCTTTAGAGGGAGGGAGTTGTGAGCGTGACCTTTCAAGGGCAAGAGAGGTCAGAGAATCTCACCGGCTGCATATGCAAGACAGGGACCGAGGAACCGCGAGCACGCGGCCCGGCTGCGCCGGACGTGATGGCAAAGCCCGGGTCCAAGCTGGCTGAAAGGCAGCCCTGAGCCTCCACAGCCCAAGGGAACGGTCTCCTTGGCTTGTAGGGTAAGAGAAAGAGCATGTTGTGTCTTTGCTGTTTGGTTGGAAAGCAGGGCAGCGAGGAGCTGCAGCGCGGGGGTCCCCGAGTGGCCTCCAACGTCACCACCATCCCCGGGCTGTCTGTCCGGGTCACTGTTTGCCCAGGCTAAACCAGCCTCGGGACACCCCGGCACTGCCCCTCAGCACATGCTGCTTTCAGAGCAAGGTATAGCCGGCACGAGGAAAGGAAAAGGGAAAAAAGGAAGTGAAACTCAGTGCACAGCAGGGCCTAGGCTGCCTGCGTGGCTCTATCCTGCCCTGCTGCCAGGAGCAGCGGGGCTCGGCTGCAGGGAGCGGCGCGGGGCAGGGAGCTGCGGCAGGGCCGGCTCTGCCCGCTGGGTGCCCGCCGTGATCCCGGCCGCACGCATGGCTCATCCCGCTCATCCCAGCGCCGCCGGCGTCCTCCGCCTCCCTGCCCGGCGCGGTGCTGCCGCTGCGTGTCCTTGCTCGGGCAGGGCACGGGGCAGCGCCTGCTCACCAGCCGCTCCCGCTGGCACAGGGGCAACTCAGCCCCTCGGCCCCCAGGCCCGGCTCTCCCTGCTGCTAAAAGAGCAAGATTCCCAGTGCCCCGGAGCAGTGCACAGGGCTCCCCCGTGCCGCCCTCCCCGGCGCCTTTGCCGTGGTTTGTCACCGCGCGTGGCCGGGCGGTGCTGCCGGGGTCGCTGCCGCAGCGGAGCGGCCGCGCTCCGGATGCCGGCTCTGCCCCACGACGGAGCCCGGGCGCTCCGCCTGCCCTTCCCGCGGCCGCCGCTTTCGCACCTTCTCCCTGCTGCACCCAGGTCTCTGCCAGCTGGCAAGTTAGCCCAGGCAAAGGAAATCTAGGCAGCCCACGGCTAGCGTGACCGCTGACAGCTCCTTCACATCCCAGCGGAAAGGGATCCGTGCATGGAAACAAACACCACACACGAGCCCGCCCCACAGCAAGAGCAGCACCACACTCAAAGCCAGTGCTGAAAATTGCTGAATTATTCAAGAAATGGTCAACATCTCTGCACTGCCATTGCAGTCCATCCTCCCATAACCACATGCCTGTTTTTTAACAGGCGGATGCGTCAAGGGAAATAAAGCACCGGCCCTGCACAAGAAATAATGGAGAGCAGCAGCAGCCCCCCGGCATCGGTGACTCCCCCGTGGGATGTGTTTCCCCAGCGGACCTTGGACACTGCGGACATCGTTGTGCTCGTGCTCTACTTTGTATTTGTCCTGGCTGTTGGACTGTGGGTAAGCACTAAACGCTTTCTTATGTGCCCTTCATGCTGAAAAATTTGGCAGTTTAGGTCTCAAGCTATTTTACCTTGGCTTGAACCAGGCCACAATTCACTGAAAATAGCGGTGTACAGATCCGCTCCACACCGCAGTCTGCAGAAGGGTCCTCACCGCGCCAAAGGAGGGCTCCTCACTCCAGTGTGTGCAGAGGTTTTGAGAACACTCGTGCACGAGTCGCTGTGTAAATAGAAAGTATTTCTGCTAACGATGTTCTGTTCATCCGGGAAGAAATCCAATACAAATGCTGTTCTGTACATCACCTGTTCCTCCACAGTGAGGTCCTGACAGCAAATTCCATAACCTAAAAGTACTGTTCGTATATAATGAAGCCAGAAAGACATCTTTCTGTCGTGGCTTTGGTAATAGCTGGAGGAAAAGCCACTGTCATAAGACAGATGAGTAGTTGCTTGCTTCAAATGCAGGGCATACCTGTGTTGTATGAAGGTATCTGAAAGGTCCTCTTGGAAACAAGAGTTCACCAGTAATATGTGCAGTATCTAGCGTTTCTGCTGGCTGCACCTGATAATTAAGGATGTCCATAGCTCTTGTCCGAACTCAGCTTGGATACCTAAGAGCGATATTGTTTCCTTACAGATCCTACATCCTACAGATGCAGAAAACATCTAATCAGGACACTGATAAGACAGAAAAATCTGTGCATGGCTCATTGCTCTGGCTGTTCCCGCTTTCCTACCACACCTTGCTGCAGAATTTTGCCCTACAGGATTTCCAAGAGCAACTCCAGATTCTTCAGCCTAAAAAAATCTACTCACTTTCTATGGCTGACAGTGCAGGGTTTCCTGGGGAAAACTAAACTAAAGTTGCTAAAACTTCCATTCTGTTTGTACTTTCCCAGTCCATGTGGAAGACCCAGCGGAGCACCGTGAAAGGCTATTTCCTGGCTGGGGGAGAGATGGTTTGGTGGCCTGTAAGTATCTCGGGCTCCCTGTGCACCCAGGCTATCGTAAGCACAAAAGCACTTTTGTCCCAGCAGATGCTTTCTCCTCTGAGAACAGAGATGAGCTGCATGTTTTGCAAAGGTCCAGGTATAACGTCAGCTGCTTTTTCCACACTCACAGCGGGGGTAATGGAGCTGCTGCAATGTACCTGTCACAGCCTGGTCCACGACTTGCAAAGCCCCTGCGAGATCCTGAGCCGCAGCTTGCGAAGTCTGTCTGGTTTGGGGAGCTCTGGAGATTTAACTGCTAGGTCCCGGGGAGATGCACATCAGTCTGCTGGGGGGTGTTTCATTTGGGGCTCATCTGGTAATTCAGTATGTGTTAATGAGGGTTTGGTGACCGGACGTTTGCACTTGCTCCCTTCATCTGCTGCTCTGGTCCTGCATGAAAGATTAGGCAGCTGTTGGGAAGAAGGGTGGTCCTAATGACGCCCGCAACAAGCAACAGGCAGCGAAGGAGTGGAAGAACTCGGAGAAAGGAGCCAGAGCCACGGGGCACACAGGCAAAGGAAGGTGTCAGAGGGTGAAGATGATCTCAGGTCCCCTGCAGTCAGGCACATGGGGACGGGGCACTGCCCAGCGTCTGCGCAGGGAATGCCCAGGGGCTCCTGCATCCTGGAACAGCAGCCGGCCTGTTCCCGGCACGCTGGGAATGCCGCTGGGTGCCAGGGCGGCTCCGACTCCGCGTCCTTCCGCAGGTGGGAGCCTCCCTCTTTGCCAGCAACGTCGGCAGCGGCCACTTCATAGGCCTGGCGGGCTCCGGGGCTGCGGGCGGCATCGCCGCAACTGCCTACGAGTGGAACGTGAGTGCGGTGCGGGCTGGGGGCGGCACTGCGGGCACCGCGCGTGCCCAGCCTGGCACCAAGGGCCCCCCGCCAGCTGCAGCTGCGAGCGCACGGGGGGCATCTGCTCCCGGGGCTGGCACCACGGGGAAAAGTCCCCTTTCATGGAATCACAGAATCCTTAAGGTTGGAAGAGACCTCTGGAGATCTCCTAGTCCAACTGCCACATGTAGGGTCACCCCGAGCATGTGGCCAGGGCTGCATCCAAGTGGGTTTGGAAGATCTCCAGAGAAGGAGACTCCACGGCCTCTCCTGGCAGCCTGTTCCAGGGCTCTGTCACATGCACTGTCAGGAAATTTTTCCTTAAGTTCCTGCGGAACTTCTGGTGCTTCAGTTTGTGGCCGTTTCCTCCAGTCCTCTCAGTGGCCACCACTGAGAAGAAGCCGCCCCAGGGGGTCAAGGTGGTGGCCACGCAGAGCCGCAGTGGTCCCCGCGCCGCACGGGGCTGCTCCAGCAGCCAGACCCGCCCCGCAGAGCCACAAGTCACCATGAGCTGTTGGTGGCGTGAGGGCTCCCACAGCCACCAGTCCCCTGCGTCCCCAGGGCGCACGTATCCCACCCACTCGATCGCAGCAATCTTCGACCTTCATTCCCGTTTGTTTTGCAGGGCATGTTTTGCGTTTTGGTGCTGGCCTGGCTATTCCTGCCAATTTATATAGCAGCTGGAGTAAGTAAATGGAATTGCCTTGGGTGCATCAGTCCTTTGCTGATTTTCAAGCCACCTGTTGGGCTCAGGGGTTCAGCTCTCGCCTAGTGCACCTGTGCTCTTCTGCAGGGCAGAGAGCAAGCCACGGTGCACTGCTCTGCTCTGCAGCAGGGCCAGGGCCCTGCAAAGTACACACGTCCTGGGAGCAGCAGGAGGGGCTCAGGCAGGGGCGCAGAACTCACGTAAAGCCAGGAATAAAGTGGATGGGGTTGCACCATCTTCCAAGGAGATGCAGCCCCTCGTAGTGTAGTTATTCAGAGCCATTACAGCCAAGTTGGGCTTTGCAAAGCTGGACCTGTGGGCAGCTGGGAAGCCAGTGCAAAACAGGACCCCTCCGCTCTCTGTCAGTGCAAAGTACCCACCTGCACGTGGGGGTGCCATGGAGCCGCCCACACGCAGGGCAGCTGCTCTGCACCTTCCAGACAGGGCTTTCTCCCACACAGGTCACTACCATGCCCGAGTACCTGCGGAAACGCTTCGGGGGCAAAAGAATTCAGATATTCCTAGCAATTCTCTACTTATTCATCTATATCTTCACCAAAATATCAGTAAGTAGAAAGAAAAAATAAAGCAGGCGGAATTAAATTTACTTTGAAAGTATGCAGTAACCAGTGAGATGGAGAAATGCAACTATTGACCCTTCTTCATGGTATCAGAGACGGGTGTACTACAGAAATACCCGAGGAAGACAGGCTATAATTGTTTAGAGAAGCTAAACCAAAAGATGTCCTCTCAGGAAGGCGCTGCCTTACCTCGCAGGAGGGAGGGCTACGGGCTCATGTGGCACAGTAGCCCAGTTCCAAGGGTGGTGGTCAACACCAAGGTGGGGTTCATGCTGACAGATCTCACAGGTCTGGCTGCCTTACGTGGCCTATCCCTGTATTTACTGCCTGCACAGACACCAAGCACTGTCACCTGCACCATGAATGGCAAGGCAGGCGTTGATCAGCCTTCAGGTGAAAGCAGTTGAGTAATTTATTGTTCCCGTTTGGTATAGTGATTGAATAAATAACTGGATCAAGCCTTGTGCAACACCTCGCTAGCTATTCATCAACCATGCAACAATGCATGAATTGGTAAAACCAGAAAAGGCCCTGCTGGTGTTTTTCCTTTCAGCACATGGCCAAGCGGGATGAGCAGCCTGACACGTGCCTGCTCCTTCAGAAACGGGCAGATCTCCAATTATGGCATTCCTGAGAGAGAAAATGGGTTGCTCAGATGCTTTTATATCTGTACTTCCATGATCTGCCGTTTGCTTATCTGAAAGTTCTCCTAAAATGCAGCATTTTGACATAGTGGCAGAAGTGGCCGCTGCGTTGGCTGCTCCCAGCCCCGGGGATGCTCCTCCTCGCCAGCTCGCTGTCACCGGCATTAAGACGCCCTGGGGGTTTGCTGCAGGGCTGTTCCGCGTTGCGGCCGTGCAGCTCTACCCAGTGGGCTCCTGGCCTCTCGCTGCTCATCCAGCCCACGCAGATACCCTTCCGGGGAGAGCTTCAGCCCATCCCTCCAGCCAGTAATACCAAAACCTGAACCCTGAACTGAGCCTGGGTTGATGTACGGGAGGAAGGAGCTGGGGCTGCAGGGGATGTGCTGCTTGGGGAAGGCATCGAGGGCGGCAGGGAGCGCAGGCAGCGGCGGCCAGGCTGGTCTCCAGCAGCGCCAGTGCTCACCACCATCTCTCGGGCCAGGTGGACATGTACGCCGGGGCCCTCTTCATCCAGCAAGCCCTGCACTGGGACCTCTACGTGGCCGTCATCGGCCTGCTGGCAGTCACGGCCGTCTACACGGTGGCAGGTAGGTCCGCGTGGGGCCAGCCGTGCAGGGGATGTTATGCAGCGTTTCACATCCTGTTTAGTGAGCTGAGTATTGGCATCCAATGTATTTTCTGTGCAACGTGTTCTTGGGCATCAGTACGGTCAACAGAAAAAACAAAGTGCTTGGGTCACAGCCCAAGAGACCAGCGCTTGCCCCTGGGGATGCTGCTGGAAATATCCCCCTCTGCCTCTGTATCCAGGCCGGGATTGTCTTGGAGCTTTCCCCAGCACTTCCCATATTTACACCAGGCTTTGGCTTTCTAGTGACAAAGGCTGACTCATTACAATTCAAAAATGAGATATTTCAGCCAAAGGGGCATGCTCAGGAATTGGTTGAACTGTACCAACACGGGCAAAACACTCCACAGAACTTGAGAGCATGCCAGGCACGGCTCTCAGATTAGGTTATTTGTCAAAAAAAGAATAAATCCTGAGATGCTATGACAGAATCAATGCAACTTCCCACAGTTTGTTGCTTCTCTCTTTTCTGTAGGTGGCCTCGCAGCTGTAATATACACAGATGCTCTGCAAACTTTCATCATGCTGATTGGGGCTGTGACGCTCATGATCTTCAGTGAGCATTTCCCTGGGGTTCTGTTACTAAAACTATGATAGATGTTTTATCAAATAGTACAAATGTGCTTAATCTCTATGACAGATTATTTGATGTTCTGTGAACTGTTTTTTATACATGTTCCTGTTAAAATGTATGTGCATAAAAATAATCTTCTATTAGTTCTTTATGTGGTAAAAATGTACTAGTCCATGAAAAGTATCTAAAGAAGAGCTATATTCTGAAATAACATAACAGAGAAACGAGCAAATTCTCTGGTCAGAGGACTTAGAGTATTAAGCTACCATCCAGGCCCACGGTAAAGCCAATGGGCTGGTTTTAGAGGATGCTTGCAGGGAAGCAAACTGATCAAAGCTACGAAGTGCACAAGTCTGCTTAGATGTGGTACCTGCCTGTGACCTGTTCTAGGCTTTGTGGAAGTTGGTGGCCTTGAGGGTCTGCAGGCCAAGTACTTCGATGCCATTCCCAGCAGCCGCAAGGAGAACAGCAGCTGCGGCTTGCCCAGGCCCGACGCGTTCCACATCTTTCGAGACCCCGTTAACTCTGACCTTCCTTGGCCTGGCGTTTTGGTAGGAATGACCATCCCGTCCCTGTGGTACTGGTGCACAGACCAGGTATGTTACTGCTTATTTATTAAAATCAGCTCTTTGGTTTCAAGGGCATGTTACTGGGTGCTTGAATCCAATTATAAAAACTCACTTGGTGACAAAATTGGGGCTGTTTTTTCTGTTTCTGATAGGAACTCAGTAAAAATTGATGATTTCAAACCCACAGCAGCTAAGTTTGATATGCACAACGAAGAGTCTGGGGAGTCATTTCAATTTAAAAAGGAGGGGAATGTGTGTGTGTGTGTGTGTGTGTGTGTGTATGTGTTAGGTTAATCCTGGTCTAAATCCCAGTCCAGTAAGTTTTTAAACTGCAGCCGTTCCCTTCTTGTGACTCGCCTGTGAATTCCCATTCCCACTCGTCCACCTCTCCAGGGGCCTCACGGCCATCACTCCGAGTGAGAGCATCCAAACTGGCAAACTGAGCCCTAAGCAATGCCCTGGTAGCCCCATTTCATCTAACTCGTTTTGCTGGTGGAAGACCCTGTCTGGTTTGACAGAAGGGTGGCTGAGGTTGCAGGACAGAGTTATCAGGGCAGTGAGGCCCCCAAAAACGCTGAAAAGAAAATTCTAAGGTGGAATGCGATTAGTTTAAGAAAGAGAATGTATAACATGGTACCCTGTGCAAGGAAGGACTTGGATGTGATGAAAAGGCTACGTTCCCATCAGAGAGAGAAAGCATCTGAAGCCGAAATTAGGAAGATACAATCAAACTGTTTCCATCTTTCACAGATTTCAGTAGTTTTGAGGAGAACAAAGTATACAAGCCTGTGCCACAGAGTAGTAAATGATTCAGCCATAAGTTTCTCTTGCTCTTGCTCTGGAGGGAGATGCAGCGTTGCCAGGGATCGCAAGGCCAGCTGCAAACTGCAGCGTGGAGCGCAGCTCCTGCAGCTGGCTGTGCTCCGCAACACCGCGGAGCAAACACGCTTCTCAATTTCTAGGTCATCGTGCAAAGGTCCCTTGCCGCTAAAAACCTCTCCCATGCCAAAGGAGGCTCCTTGATGACCTCCTACTTGAAAATTTTGCCCCTCTTTATGATGGTAATGCCTGGCATGATCAGCCGCATTCTCTTCCCAGGTAAGTGCTGAAGGAGAGAACTGTTCCCTCTGTTTGTCACTGACTGCAGCTACTCTGTGGGGCTCTACAGAATAAGTTAAAAGGCTGAAATGCATCAAATCCCCCAAAATACAGGGATCTTTTCCTTCAATTACAAACAGCACATCCTCATGCAGCAGAACCCAGATATACTTTTACAATGCCCCGCTATGCGTGCTAGAGCAGTTTGCGGTCATCCCTCCTCACGGCAGTCTTGACCAGCTATCCCGATGCTGCCCTGAGCTGCTCTGCTGCATTCTGTGCGTGCACGCAGGCCCCTCCTGCACCCAAAACGTCACTCTTCCGGGAATTCAAGTTTCAGGCACTCGGAGAAATCCTGATACGCCATCTAAAATGCTGCTTTTGCAACCCCTGACTGCTGCAGGCTGCTCATTAGGTGAGGACATGCGCAAGTGCCGATCCATGCAGCCAAAAGCAGGTGGATAGCCTGGATTCTCCAGCATTCCAAGACAAGTAGCCACAAAGACAGGCCAACTCCTTCCATCGATAGTATCTTTTGTATGGAAGAAAAAGGAGCAAGGGGAAAACTCAGTGTGGTTCTTCTCTCACTATGTCCCGCACTATTTGCTGGAAGATTTCCAAGATTTCCAATACTCAGCATCTCAGTTGGGCTATGTTTTACAGTATCCAGCAGGCTAGCTTGCAGGTTAGATGTATTGGTTTCTGGTGATCACTGAATATTGCTTTTCCATCCCTTTTGCTTCCTGTAGATCTGGTGGCTTGTGCAGACCCAGAAATTTGTCGGAAAATCTGCGGCAATCCATCCGGCTGCTCTGATATCGCCTACCCGAAGCTGGTCATTGAACTTCTGCCTGTAGGTAAGGAGCTTGGTATCGGTGCAGCCACAGAGGGGTTAGTTCTGTGTGAGAAATGCTCCACAACAAGGGAAGGATGTCTGTGAGATACGTTCAGCGATGAAAGCGCCCTGCACTTCATACATATGAAGTATATGCTATATACTTCATAAAGTATAAAGTGTAGTTTCAGTGGGGTTTCTATTGGGCTTGATGAGGCAGCGGTAGCAAACAGCATGCAGCAAGAGGGAGGGGAAAAGACTCAGTATCTGGAGGTCTAGTCCAAATTGAGATGGAAGGTGCAGAGCGGATATTGAACAACGAGACAAACCAACCGTGGAAGCCAGTGCAGAGGGCCTCCGTGTCGCCGGCCATTGCACAACAGCACTAACGCTGGGCTCTGCAGCCCCAGAGAGGAGGGAGCCGGAGGCAGGGCCTGCAGTCCCCGCTGCCCGGGGCTCCCGGGACAGCAGGGCAGCTGCAGCACCTTGTCCGGGCTGTGCTGAGGAAGGGGCTGCAGCCCCCGCGCACGGCCCCGCTCTCAGCGCCTGTGCTGCTTCTCTGCCTTGCAGGACTCAGGGGCCTCATGATGGCAGTGATGATAGCAGCTCTTATGTCCTCCCTGACTTCCATCTTTAATAGCGCCAGCACCATCTTCACCATGGACCTCTGGAAGCACTTTCGGCCTCGCTCTTCTGAGTGGGAGCTCATGATCATTGGCAGGTGAGGAAAATCAAACCACATTGCATCTGGATTCCATATTAGAGAAACCTCTCAAGACCCCTTGTTTCCTGCTGCCCCTGCATAGTGTCTTCAGTGTCTATTGCTTCACATCAATCGAGGAAAAAAAGACGGACTTTGAGCCCTGTATATGAGACCATTTTCCTTTAGAGACTCTTGCTTTCTTCTGGTTAGATAGCTAGGGGAGAATCTGGCTTAGTCAGTCAACACTAGGAGGGGAATGCCAAGATTTCATTGCACCAAAATGCATAAGCAGAGGCAAGAATCGAATAGGCAGAGAGGCTGAAACCTGGGGAAACCCGAGTGGTGCTGCAGATGGGCAAGGGCCCAAACCAGGCCAGGAAGGGCTGGTTTCTGGGAACAAACACAGGTGGCTGGGGGACGGGACTGGAGACCCTCTTACTGCAAGAGCTCTCACTAGCAACCTGAACAAGCAACTCGTTCGAGCAACCTGAACGTCTGGAAAATGAAGGTCTGAACTAATGGTAACAGCATCTTTTCCTTGCCAGGGTCTTTGTGCTGCTGCTCACGGTGATGTCCATCCTGTGGATCCCGCTGGTACAAGCTGGCCAGGGCGGGCAGCTCTTTATTTACATCCAGTCCATCAGCTCCTACCTGCAGCCCCCCGTGGCCATGGTTTTCATTCTGGGTTGCTTCTGGAAAAGAGCAAATGAAAAGGTAGCAACTCTGCTGTATGCAGCAGTTGCCTTTGTGTTTTCTCTGTCCTCACAAGAGTCCTGCAGCTCAAACCGCAGCCCCAGGCTGCAGTTCTGGCTCCTCTTGGGGTGTTTTGGAGGGTGAATGCACCCAGTCCGCTCCAAAGCCCAAGCTGCAAGGAGCCCATGGCAGGAGGGGTATTCCCTGCTCTCCTCCAAAGATGCAGTGTCATTTCATAGTAAGATGAGCGTGTTCCTCAGGTGCAGTGTCCCTCTTGAGTCCTGGGGCCTCTAAGGGGCCCATTAGCCACGTGCTCATTTATTACACGGGCTTGTACCATCCCTCTGCAGCAGGGACCTTCCGAAGGGGTCACAGAGGAGCTGAAGCGGCAGCAGGAGACCATCACCTACCGCTCCTCCAGGAAGGCTGGTGCTGGGAGAAGTGCGCAGCCAGGAGCTGGAGCACGTGGGAGTTCTCCCCTCATGGCGCTTGGGGCAGGCAGAGCAGCTGGAGGCACCCTGTGGCTCAGGCAACATTATGGTGCAAGCATTGCACTTGAGAAGATTCTGGCTTAAGATGCTGCATCTTTCCTGCACACCAGCACTGACACCACTCAGAAGGGACACGTGGCTACCACAGCAGCACGTGTGGGCCTAGAGAGACAGCAAGAGCAGGAAGGGAAGAGAAGGAACTCCCTAACAGGGCAAGCAGAAAGCCCGGCCTCTCCAGGGCCTAGAACTGACACAGGGACCGAGCACATATTTGCTTCTTGTTCCAGTAAAGAAAACCCTTCGTTTCCTAGGGCGCATTCTGGGGCCTGGTGATTGGGCTGCTGCTGGGCTTCATCCGACTGGTGCTGGACTTCATTTATCCAGAGCCCCAGTGTGGACAGACAGACATCAGACCAGGTGTGGTGAAACACATGCACTATCTCTACTTCTCCATGGTCCTAGCTGCGATTTCTACAATCACTGTGCTGCTTGTGAGCACGCTCACAGAACCCCCCGCGGAGGAAATGGTGCGTCACCCCCTTAGATTTCTTTCATTACCTTTAATCTGTTTGCAGGATGCCCCATGTTTCACCCATGGGAATAATGTGGAGATGAATAATGTGGAAACGGAGGTTTCCATTCATTCTTTATTTGGGAATATGCCTGCAATAACCTGTAACACAATTCCATCTCTGCTCCCGCATCTGCCTTGCCATTTAAGACTTTGGTCCCATAAATCCAGAGGCCCACCCTGGCAAGTGGTCAAGAGTAGATGCTAAAAGATTAAGTCCAAAAATGTGTGTTTAACCCATGACAAATCAGCTCTTTCCCTCTATTTTCCAAGAATTTCCAGCTTCTGGGTCATCTTTATCGACTCTCCTATTAATTTAGTGAGGAACCATTTTTCCTTGCAGAAAAGAGAAATCAAGGGCAGAGATCATACTTCCTCTGGAACAGGTTTGTGCCCCTTTGACTATTCTCTATAGACACGTTAGGGTTATGGAAAAGGAGAAACAATAGCAAGGAGGGCCAGAAAGGACCTTTAGAAATCACGGAGCTGGCACATCCTCTTGTTTCAAGACACTAACTCAACCTGACACTTTTCTGTAAGACCTGAGCTAATATGTTCTTAAAAACCCCCGGGTGGGATTTTTAAGATCATTACTGTGCGATCAACACAAGAGCTTATCTGCCCCCTCAGCAAAAGCTTTTCCTCATCTCCAGCCCGAATCCTTCTAGCTTCAAACTGTGCTCCCTCTTGCTGTTGGTCGGTCACGGACCTCAAGAACATTCCTCCTTAACGAGCCTTTTACGTATTTGAAGAAAATGATCATATCTCCCATCTGTCTTCTCTTTTCTAAACAACCCTGGTGCTTTGAATCATTCCTCACTGGCCACAGTTTCCATTCTTTTGCTGTTTTCTTGGCCCTTTCCCACTGACCCACTCTCAAGCTACATCCAGTGGTGGCCCCATGCAGAAGAAAAATCATCTTGAGTAACAAGAAGTGAAGAACAGCATCCTTGTGAGAGTGTATCTGTATAAAGAGCCATCATGTTCCATACAAATCTAAAGGCAACATGCAGAACTCCACTGGCCATCACTTCCCAAGAGAGCATTTAACTGCCCACCCGCTCCAACGCAGCCAGGGAACAGGTTTTGCTCCCTTACAAACGTATCTCTCTCCAAGCTGCTCTCCTGCTGAGGTTGTCCTTTAAATGCCCCGAGGGGAACCCGTGTTTTCTTTAACACCACTCTTCATGCCATCAGATAAGTCGGCTTACCTGGTTCACGCGTGGGGATCTACCAGTCAAGCAAGACCTAGCAGGCAGCACTTCCCCTGGCACTGGAAATGGAGTGTGTGAAGCTGAGCGTCCAGCTTTCCAGATTGATATAAGCATTGCCTCTGAAAATAGTTCAAATGATAACAAATGTAAGTGCTCCGACACCGTACTCAGTAACTCCTAAAATTATCAATCCTAGGTATTAGGTAAAGGCTCTGAAGACAAGAAATGTTAAAAGTGCTTCCTCTGGATTTCTGTATTGTCAGGGTACGCTAAGAGGTTGTTACGTGAGGGTTTTAGCTAAGCGTTTAGTTCCTTTTACTACTTCTTGCTGGCGTTACCTATGCTTGAAATGAAGCAAGGAGCCGGGCAGGACAGAGCCGTGCCCATTACCTGCACTAGAACTTGGTGCAACTTGCAGCTGCTGCAAGGAGAGTTAGTGGAGGAAAGGGGGGGGGCGAGAGACAGTCACAATTATTTTCATGAAATTCCATTTCTGTTTTTCAGTGATGTTTTCTGATCGGCTCTAGCAGCAGGGAGAACACAGAGCCCTGGGCGGAGTACTGACAGATCAGTGAAGGAGGATTTACATTTTTTAAAACTTGTACTTGTCGGTATTAGGTACCCACACACATAGCAACTCGTTCTGCACTTTCCAGCAATGATTATTATCATCACTTGTTTTTGCTAAGCTTGGGACACTTTATGTAACTTTGCAGCTTCTGCTGTGTGCTGCTGAGATCTAAAAAAGGATGCTGAAAAGGCCCACGAGTTACTGAACGATGGTGCAGATTGCCCAGCTGCTGGGAGGCCTCACTTTCTGCCTCTGCCCTCCTGGCATTTAGTGGGGCATTCGCCCCAGCCCACAGCAAAGCCGGGACAGCTCCACTGATGCTGCCCGCGCTAGCGCCTGCAAAGCAAGGGGAGCTGACGGGCAACAAGCAGTTGCAGAGAAGCTTTTAGGGTGGACCTACTGTTTCTTAAAACGTTGAGAACAGCAGAATTTGAACTGAGATCTGCAGGGATGAGCAAGCAGCCACCTCAGCCCCAAGCGGCTGCTGTTGGAAGGGCTCCCTGCATCTCGGTGGGGCTTTTCTGTCCGTTCCACACGCGATGCTGTCGTGCGGCAGCATCCACACACGCAGTGCAGGAGCGCCCCGGCACATGGCTGGGCCGCGCTCTCGGGGACGCTTCCCCCTCGGGGACGCTTTCACCTCACTACTCACTGTCGTTCCAGGCGCCAGGAACGGCGGCGGGCGCTCGAGGCTGGCGACGCTGGCGCTGTGGCTGTGCGGGATGGAGCGCGGGCAGGACGGGCCGGAGGCGGCGCCGGTGCCGCGCGAGGCGCCCGCGGCCGCCCCCGACGAGGCGCCCTGGGTGCGGCACGTCCTCAACATCAACCTGCTGCTCTGCCTCTCCGCCGGCGTCTTCCTCTGGGCCTACTTCGCGTAGCGGCCGCTGCCCCGCGCAACGCAACGTCAACTAGTTGTAACGGGTGTAAATAATAAGAATTAGCAGCGGGCTAATGTAAACTGTAGTCCTTTCTAAATGGTGTTTTAAGAATAGAGTCTCTTCCTTAGTAAGTGCCCTGTTATTCGCAAGGGAGCCATCTGTGCTGGGAGCTGGGCCTGCGCAGCAGGATCCACCTGGGTAAGAGCTGAGGAAGGCGCCTGGGCACAGAGGGGCCGTTGGGCTACTTTAGCCTTTGAATAACGTTCCTGGGCGTCAAGCACTCCCTGCAATTCCAGAAATCCGGGTTCCGATCCGCCGGGCGCCCCGAGGGGCAGGCCGAGGCCCCGCTCGCATTCCTGTCGGTGCCGCCGCTCGCGCGGTCCGGCCACGCGGCCCACGTTACATGGGGTAACGCCGGGCGGCGCCGGAACCGCAACTGGCGGCGCGGGCAGAGTGAGCGCGCAGCCAAAAACACCCCAAAGAGCCCGAGCCCCGAGGCCTCGTGAGGGGCGCGAGCGACAGCGAGCAGGGACATGGCGGCACCCACACCCCTCTCCAGGCGGGCTGCAGGCTCCCTGCGCGGCTGAGCGCCGCTCCAGCCCTCGGTGCATGCGGCGGCGCTCAGGGACCCCCGGGCGGCGCCCGCGAGCTCCCGGGCGGCTGCCGCGCGGCGGGCGGGTTCGTTACGGCCG